TCAATATCTCTATTAATTATAAAGTGTCTGACATGTTTAGTTGTTCAAAGGGTAATTGAACACTTGTAACATCTTAAGCATTCTTGAGAGGGTTACATGTAACACTTACAACTGAGACTTACATCATGCTGTTGTTAAATTCTTTTTTTTTTTTTTTTTTTTGCTTTTTTGTGTACAAAAGGCTTAAAACTAACATTAAGAAATCAAACATTATAAGGAGTATGAGCTTTGTGTATCATATTAAGCTTTAGAATAGACAAAGTTTGGTTTAATTATGTGGTACCTGCTTTACACTAGTAATTGACCATCAGATTAAGCTTCAACAACCTCCTGATATGGATGTTTCATCTTTTGTATATAAATGTAAGTGATCTATTCTTGAGAATAAGAATACTGTTTACTGATAAGATGTTGCTTTTCTTTGAATGAAGTTATTTAGTTACCCTCATTAAGCGAATTTGATCCGATGCCTGCAGTAATGATGTAACTAGACCTTGCTCAGAAAAATAGGATATATATTTTCTTACCACATCTTGTATGAGTTTGCTAAGTCAGACATTCGGGCTTAGATTTCAGTTTACATTTTTTATTTCCACACCATGAACCATGTAAAGCTGTTACAGTTTAGCTGTCATAGGATCCCATGGACTTCAGGATGTAAAGAGCAAACTGTATTTTAATATGAAACTAAATCTAACTGGTTTGCTTAAAGATGGACGAACAACATTTACAGGTTGGACAGTCAAGAAGAAAAGGATTGAATAAACTGTTGCAAAAAAAAAAAGAAAAAAAAAGATGTTTCACCTTAAGAGAAGAAAGATAATTACCCAAGTAGCTTACAGTAAATTAGCTCCATTAACAAGTAGTATATTTTGAGAATTATCAACTTATGAGTAAATTACACCAACCACATAAAAGGTCATAGTGTTTCAGAACCTCACTTACATGGCTGCAAATGCCATCATGTTCCATTATTTTCCATCTTGGCTTCTAATTTTAATGCAGTATTATAATGAAATTAGAAAGAGGATATCAACTCTAGACAATATATTTTTTCTTAACATTTCCTACCACAAAAATACATTACTACAAATTTCTACAAAAATGCATGAATACATTAATTAATACTGTGCTGCATGTATGTATATCATACCTATGTCATTTGCAAAGCCATATGCAATCAGACAAGGAACATTCTAGACTGACAATGAGCCTGAATATCATCAGCCAAACTGATTGCCATACAGTCTCTGTAATGTGGTTGTCTTATGATGCATTTTGGGGTGATTTCCATTCTAAAACAGTCCATGCCTGATTACACCTATTTCACTTCATAGTTTTTTGTATTACATTTGTATAAGGTATTTTTATAGAATACGCTATGATGAAGAATATAATGTAAAAGATTGGGATCACCTTCAGTTTATAGATACTTAAAAATTAAGATAGGTCTATTCTTACATACTTTCTTCTTAACAAGGGCATTAATTCAGTTTTAACTAGAAAATTTTCATTTACTTTTACATATCTCTGGCACATACTTGCAAATCTCATCAGAGTACATGCCAGTTGTATAAGATAAGATTCTATTTGCCCAGACTGACATCCATATTTGATAATTGGCTGATCATCCATAGTTGAGGACCATGGGATCCTTGTCTCCTTTCATAATCAATAAATGATTTGCTTTGTATAAGTGGTAGATGTTTGTGTTCTGATGACCCTGTAACTTATTGGAAATGTCCTTCTTATACCCTTGTTCAGTGGATTTTATTGCAATGATTTTTGTAGTTTTATAAACTCTTACACCAGCTTGCCAACACCTGGTGTCCAGAAATGAATACAGAGGATATGACGTGCTTAAAAAAAAAACTAAATTGATTGTTGTATTTTGTTACACAAAAGCATGTAAAGATTAATTTATTGAAAAGCAATCAGTTATTTTTATCTTTATTTGTGAACTGTTGCTATGCTGGATAAAAAACATCTGAACTTAAAAACCCAAACCTGTTCAGAGGTTAGAAAAGTGCACCTAAGGACAGGCATTCTGGCCATTGGATTTCTGATTGACATCGCTGCAGTCCCTTTGAATGACAAATGGTTTTTATTGTAGTCCTGTGTTGTTCAAACTTCCGACCTAAAACAGCAACTTTTATAAATCAATTAGCCTCATGCTCAGGTGAATTACAAGTTTATTATGAAGCTTTCTTGATAAAACAGGCTTTAAGTATGATTTGTTGGACCATTGAAACATCTTTGAAAGCCCTGACCAATAAACTGTGCTGGTGTCAAGCAACATTATACCTGTGTAAAATAAATATAGTGTGGCAAGGGGACAAAATATCCCATGGAGTTATTAATTTCCTGCTAATGGCATAGCCAGGGGGTATGGCAGATAATGAAGTGCAGCCTTATAGGTAGAGGTTATGCCTAGGTGATGTTTGTTTAAAGAATGTTACCGTTGACTCGTGTGCGAGCACCCTCGTAGCTGGAGGTATAAACTTGTAAGAGAATCTGCATGACAATTGATATCTGGATTCAGGAGGGAACTCGCATGAGTTCTGCTCAGTTAGCTCTTGGTCAGGTACTGAACAGGGCCTTCTAGTCTCGGACAGCATAGATGGCAGTCATGAAAAAAAAATCGATTTTGGGGACTCTGCTGACTTTGGCTCTTCTGGTAAGGAGCAAAATTTTGATCATTAGCCATACATTTGTTAAAATTGATTTGTTCTTTTTTCAGTTTCTTATATTTATCTGCAAAAATAATCAGGATTTTAAAACTTGGTGCTTATATCAAAACAAGAAGTAGGCAATTTGTTTAACTGTTAGGAAACAACAACAAATTTCAGTGCATGGTGATATGTGAAATTTCTGTATCAATTTACTTCACTCTCTTTTTCTCTCTCTCTTTCTCTCTCCCTGTCTCTGTCTCTCTCTTTCCATCTCTGTCTTTCTCTCTCTCTGTCTCTGTCTCTCTCTCAAAAGAAAAACACGGAAGGCATGGCAGGGGCATACATTTATCCTGTGCACTATAATCACCATTTTTTTCTCCTGAAGGCAAAACTGACAAAGTAGTGGGTTGTTTTTATTTTTAATTCAAAGAACATAGCCTTATGTTTTCTTGTGCAGCTTAAGTTTCGCATAGTATGGTGCAAGCTTGAGTTTACGTGTGCCATAGATGTAGTACAGGTTGAGTGGTGGATTTACGTAGACTGTCTGGGTAAACAGGACGGGTTTGTTGGACACATTGTGTGCAGGCAGGTAATAGGAGGGCAGGTACAAAAAGTAACATTAGTCACTTAATGGACTGCTTTGATGTGTTTACTTTCTTCAGTACCACACTAAGGGTGGTCTAGGTTACTCTTTATTATTTTGCAATGTAGCAAGACTAGCCGGAAATACGGCAGTAGCACCTCCAACTCTATTGAACAGAAAGTAGCCATTACATCTAGTTATACGTTTTACCAACTATTATGTAGAGATTTGCTGTGGGGGTTAATTAGATATTAGCTGGACATGTTTTGAAGGAAACAAAGTCATAAATGTTAATGAAAATGAATAATTGATGAAAGTATGTCAGTGCTCCTTTGATCAATCTTTTAAAAAGAAAAGTATTAGTATTTAATGTCTTATATTGTGTTGCGTGTAGGAAGACGATAAAAACTTTGACAAATATCTTCCTTCATTTTATTAGCACATGAAGTTGTAAACTGCTCCGTCACTTAGTGGCTGTGAGGATAATAGAAGTGTTACAAAGAACAACTTCAAAGGGTCCATGTATAATGTTTTTTTTTAAACATTAAAAGTTCAAAGAAAGCACTAAAGGTATTTCAGATGTTGATTAATTGAATGAAATAATTAAAAGTTACTTTCAGTTCTACAGGTATGTGTTCCTGATCCTAAGTGATGAAAAATTAAATGAAAAAGGTCAAAGTAGTTCACTAGAAGCAGAATTAGTCCTTTATTTCCCTTCCTAGTTTTATTGTTCTGGGGGCTGTGGTAGTTTATTGTTGTTACACCTGAAAAAAGATTGGCCATCTGCTTTAGACTGTGGCAACTTTGTGCCATATGGAATAAAAGTCCTTGGATGGTGATGATCAAAGGATGTATCACGTTCAGGATGTCACTTTGTACGACCTAAGTTAAGTACCAGCTTAGCCAAATCATCTGCAGTGCCTGTGTGAGCAGGGATGTGTAGAATATGAATAGTGGCTTATCAAGCTATTCCACTTCCATCCTGCCTCGGTTAGGATATAACCAATTAATAACCACACTGTTTTGACACGGCTGTTATCAATCCTCTAAGTCATTCTGAAGGGCACCTGGGGAAGGTTGCAAAACTCAAAAAGTATCTTTAAGTGGTCCTAAGCCTGATTTTGTTGACAAACTGGAGTAATAAGCATAGCATGGGGTGGCTGGCTACAGCTAACCCCTCAGTATTGAAAAATACATTCAAATTCAAATTCATAAATCAATAATGTATAGAATCTTTCAACTGTCATGAGAAATAAAATATTCATTTGATGCCTGAGGTTATCTGCAGTGAATAGAGAGAAAAGTGTTTTATAAGCTTTGACATTAACAAGAGCTTGATGGCACTGTAAGGGGGCCTTGTCTGATAAACCATGTCCAATTTGTCAGGATATTAGGTTCAGTTGCCAAACTGATGAGACAAGCACCATTATGAAAGCTGAACTTGAAAATTGATTTTTATACGCTAATGATATAATTGAATTTAATAGTGGTTGTTTAAATTGGCCCAGTAATTTAACAAAATAATCCTGTAAAAACCCCTGAGGTGTGTTTACATCAAACTTTCTTTTGATATCTTTTGCTATCAAATTTTTCATCTGAAGGGGTTTATTGGTTGAGAACTTGTGACATCTGTAAATTTATTTAAATTTAGACAGTAAGTTTGTGTGTTTGTTAAAAATAAATAACCAAGTAATCAGGAAAAAGACAAGTCCTCTTTATCTCATTGTAATGATTTTTACTTGCAGAAAGTAGGTTGTGACGGTCTTCTTGGCTCAGAGAAACAGAATGACAAGTGTGGTGTGTGTGGTGGAGATGGTTCTACCTGTCGTGTGGTCTCAGGCATCTTTGCAAGGCAGCAACTTGGGTATGGCTATAACAACATCACTGCAATTCCAAAGGGAGCCTGCAACATCAACATAACTGAGCTGAGACAGAGCAAGAACTACTTAGGTAGGTAGGGTATTATGTAACCTGTGAAACAAAACTAAGAAGACTTGAAAACTTTTGATTTGAAATTCTTATTAAACTTCTTCTAATTTTCTTTTTAAAGGTTGACATTAAAATGTCTCATTTCAAAGCAAATGCATTTATGGACACCACTTTACCTGGGCTACTGATTCTTTACAATTTCTTTCAGTTTTTTAAAAGATGAAAATGTCTTTACAGTTTGATTAACCAGAATTATCAAAATGAAAATTTGTTCATGGAGATAATAACTTTTTCAGTTTCCATAATAATTAATCACCGGAAATGTAACTTTCTTCAAAATGTTTATGTATCATATCTATATTTGTTTATGTAAGATATGGATGCAGACAGGGCAGCCATGCAATAAACTGCCACTTGACAGCCGTTTCATCATATCTGCTCCAACTTATATAAGTTGAATTGAAACTTCTAATTATAGATGTCATTAGACCTCTTAGACTTTACACAGGCTAATCATTAATCCACTAGTAAACATTGACATTCATCATTGGTCTTTAAAGATAAGCACTCTCTTCAAGTGATGACTGATTAATGAGCAATTAACTAACTGATTAGACCCCCGTTTGGCAGCTCTTGTGTTAGGTGTGCACAGGGTACTAATTAACTGGCCTCTCGGCACCTTTGCATGTTTTTATACATAGTCTAGAAGCTACTGATATATATTTTTTTCTTTTCCTTTTTGCATTGCATATATATATATATCAGTTTGTTGTCATTTTTAAGATTAATTCTATCATCATATCTATCATATCTATCTATCATAAACTTTTGTTTTTGATGGTGTCTTCTTGTATCAATAATCATAGTCATTGTATAACTTTTGGCTGAACATTTCTTTTATTTTTTATTTATTTTAAAGAGTTATATCTATAGTTAAGGGCCTGTTCACAATGAATTCATCAACCTAGCTACTGTACACTAACTCCACAGGGATTGTTGCTAAATACAATCAGATTAACAGACTGACACGCTTCCTGTATTTCCAATGTACTTACATGATCACCAGCTTTTCTGTTTTCTCCTCAATGCTAGGAGGAGGCGTGTTTAACAATTACTCCGATTGCATTCAACAAGAGTCCTCTTGGAGTTAGTCACAGTAGCTAGGTCGTTATATTTATTGTGAACGAGCCCTATGTTTCTTTTCACCTCTCCCTTTTATCTTAAGAAGGATATTCAAAGAAACAGCTTGAAGTGTTATGTCAGCAGAAATAGAACATCTTGTTTCCTGAAGACAAATACTCTTCATGCCAGTTTGCAAAAAAAAAAAAAAAAAAAAAAAAAACATTTTTGAACCTGTGACAAGATTTCGCAGGACATGCTTGATAACCATCTATTGCTGTTACATTATGTTGTGTGAAGTTCCTAAGAACACTGCTTGTACTAGGAACACATTATAACCAAAAACCATATGTCAGGGAAAGAAAACATGTTGTAGTGGCAAGAAATAACTAAATTGATTCCTGCCTTTTTGATGTACTGTGCCTTCCTGGGAGGTTCTTCAAACTATAAACATGTAACATAGGTAGGGTTAAAAGTATGAAAATATTTATATTAGTCACATTTGTTTCACCGTTTGCTTGTTGTGACATCTGTAATAGAATTAGATTTAAACCTTATAAGGAGGAATTATTCCTGAAAAACAAGATACAAAAATTATCTTTTGTTTTGCATTCATTGTTGCCTCTTAATTAATACAAACTTGTTCAGGGATTTGGTAACTGAATTCAATTGGTTTATACAAAGTTCAGGGTTTTGTTTGCTTTAGTAAATATCTTATGTCACAATTCACCCAAACTTTGGTGACCTGATATATTTTGTTTTTTCAAAGGGTGAAAAAGGACTCTCAGATGGGGGGTTTATTCACTTTACCTCATTAACGCAATTTCAGTATTTAACCTGTTTGATAAGGATAAGGGAAAGAATGGTGAAATAAAGACTGTTTTGAATTTAAAGTATCTGCATTGAGGAGAGTGTTGTTTACTTAACACCAAAGGTTTTCCTGTGATTCAGACATCTGTTTGTTTATTCTCTTTTTCCAATTTAACCACTTCCTCAAGTCTTCTCATTGGAATCTGAACACATGGAGGTGGTTTCATATTTTTAGAGCTGACCAATATGTAGCATTTATAGTAACATGTATTATAAAGAAAAAGCAGCAGACTTTTGGGTTTTGTAAATATAAATTCTGACAACCCCCCCCCCCAAAAAAAAAAAAAAAGAAAAAAAGAAAAGTAAAAAGACATTTATTCATCCACTCAGTATTTTTTCCAATCTCCAAACCATATTTTTAATAATAGAAGATTGCACTACTAATATACAAGTTGAATAAAAAACACTTCGTATGAACTGCACGTTTGCTTGCATTTTGGTCTAATTTGATCTTTGTATTAGGGGATAAAGTAGTTGCCATGAATAAAGAGGACATCAGAATGATGTTGGTCATACAATTTTATGCTTAATTAACTACTAGGCTCCACATTTCTCTTTACATGATTACACACTGTGTAAATGTTAAACAGCAGTCCAGGTGATTAAGTAATCCAGCACCACTGAGTTTAATAGGTTATTTTCTTCTGTGTCTTACTTTAATAAACCCATCACAAGTATAGGCAAATAACTCAAATTTTGATTATGAAGTGTTTAAATCACTGCATAATGCTTGTTTTTGTGGAGAAAGTGATAGGCTGTTCTAATGAAGTGTTCCTCAGAGATCTAGACATAATTTTTGATAAGAGGAAAGTTTTGCAATTAATATTGTAGATGTGCCTGCATGTAAAGAGAGGAAAGAAAAGAGAAAAAAATGACAGGCAGACAGAAGGACACAGGCAGATAGTAGGACAGATGTGATTTAGTGCCATGCAGGCGATTGGCAGAGTTTTTATTGATGATGGCATTCCAAAGCTTAAATTTTTTCTTGTTTGTTGACAGCTGCAATTCCATAAGTATTATTTATGCCTATCATCAAATTACCAAAATAATGTTACCTGCAAATCCTTATTTTCTAAAATTTAAAGCAAAATTATTCTGCAGTAAGCAGGACTGGGTCCAGGATAAGGAGATGGTTTCAAGCTGGTTATACCTACCTGGATATATCTAAATACTATATGACTTACCTGATATCAGAAGTATGGATTGTTGTTATTGCATAAGCTAATTGAGGGGGCTTGTTATGTGTATAGAAATGAAAACACTCATTACTGCAACCGAATTAAAAGAAAACATTTCAATATTTATAGAAGTGTAATTTACTTTGAGATTAGTCTGGGGTTAGTAGACTGTCCACTCCAGTACTTGAACTTGACCCATGTAATAATAACAGAGACTACTCCATGAGGGGGTCTAGCCCCAGGGATGGTGGTGTTAGGACACCCCGAGTGTGAGGGCCTGATTGACAAGGTGAGGAATATTTCAGACACCATTGTTGCACACCTACAACCTGTGTATGGGCCGAAATTGAGACCAACAAAGCTGTTGTATTTGTAAAACCAAACACTGGTGCAGGGTTACTGTTGACATTTGAAGTATGTCTGTCATGCTTTTAAAAGGCCTAATATAATTTTATTCCTCATTAGATTTTTAAAATAAACTTGTTATTACCACCTGCATTGCTGGTCAGATATGAACTGGAGTTCTGTGACTAATCTCCTTCATTCCTGTATTGATAACTATGAATATCAAGAAGTATTTTAATCTCCAAAAAGACTACAAGAGGCATTTACAGCATCTCTTATATAATTATGTAATAGATATCTTTTGAATAGATTCACTGTATATTGGAAAAAGGGATTTAGTATTTTTTCTGCTCTAAAGAATTATCATGCCGACTGATTTCCAGTGGTTTTGAGGTTCAACAAACCATCTACATGTTCCATTTGGCAACATAAATCTTGCTTAATGAATGCTGTAAAAGATATGCAAAAACGTGGTGCCAGTTAATTTGGCTATCTATAACTCTATATGTACAGTGCACTTAGTTTAATGTGGTCTTTATGGTCTGTCTATTTCCATCTGAGCTTCTTAATTTTGGTGGCTGGATTTTGAAGTCTTATACCTTTTTTCAATCTTCATTTCTTTTTTAAGAAGGAATTTGCAGTATTTTAATCCTTAAGACTTAGGCGAGGACACATTCTGAATTTATTTGAGCAAATACTTTTCCATCTTGTGTTACATCAGCTGTCACGTAATGTTAAGAGTTGTAATAGGTGTAGGATGACATTTCAATTGTAGATGCCTGTGGTGACAAGACTGCAGGATTACTGTTCTTAGGGCCTCTTTTTTATGAGATTAAGCACAGGGTTGGTCACATTGATCTCTTTTAAGTATCTGACTTCAGTGAGAGGATTACAGTTTGGGTGGAAGCTTTGAGGCAGGCTTGGCACGTACTTGTATTTGAATTGTTGTTTGTCAGATTGCTCTTTCATAGCTATTTGCAACTGATTCAGGCTGAGGATTTTGAGGAAATGAATTCTTTGTTATTTTTTGTTATTTTGTATATCACAGCTGTCATAGACTGTAGTGATAAACCTCATCAAAAGCTGAGAAAAAATACTGACCATCAGTATCAAAGTAAGTAAAGGATAGGATTTCCACAGTCTTGTAGTGGTACCGAGAAATTTTAGGGGAGAAAATTGGCTTTAGCTAATAGTACATGGCCGTTGTATTACTGAAAGAGGTTAAAATCCTTTGTTTCATCCTTGCTTATATCATGTTCCTTTTTGTCTTGCAGCATTAAGAACAAGGAGTGGTAAATCGGTGGTTAATGGAAACTGGGCAATCGATTGGAGTGGAGATAAAAAAGCTGCGGGTACAACTTTCAAGTACAAAAGGGGACCTCGGAGTCACCATAACACACCAGGGGAGCAACTATTGGCCGATGGACCAATTAATGAGACACTGGACTTGTTTGTAAGTATGCACAGTGGAATATTGTGATAATGATGTGTGTGGAGTAGTCTGCATCGGAGACGGAGATTGAACCACCCTGGTATTTTATCAGATTTACATTAATTGACATGAGATTACCCAGCTGTCAGTGTCAACCCTGGGTGTCAACTTGGTGTGTTCTGTCAACAGTGTCATTTTGATTGGAAAGTGGTTTATTTAAATTAAAACTACAAGAGGACCTATTGGAAGGTAGCATTAGCTCAACATTTGTTCCAACTGATGAAATGTAAGATCAGGTTAGAAATCTTGTTGATTGACATAAGCACCCTTGCAGTGTGATTGATTTTAGCCTCTCATAAGACATTGTGTTGACTTTCATTTGTTTTTTTTTTTTTTTTCATGTAGACATCATAAAAGGAGACTTCAAAACATGAGGGTCAAGTTGTTTGACCAGTAAATTATCAATAATGCTCTTCACAGGCTTAGCTACTTGCAAAAAATTGCATAAAGCAGTTGTATCTGTTTGATTTATTGCCCCGCTGGCAAGAAAAAGAAAGAAATAAAACAGCTGTATATATTTATAAGGTTCAGGGGCATGTTTTGTGATTTTTTTCTTCATTTAAAATGTACAATTTTCTCTTCTATGTTAATTATTGAGTAATAAGTTCATGGTTTTATAAAGATTTCTATATGCTTCCATTCTTCTAAATGTTCTTTCATAGCTCAGTTTTTTAAAGCCTCATATCCCTCAAGTGCCGTAATTGTAAGTACGCATGGTAAAACACATTGGTGAGGTTGTTAGGGGCCAACACAATTATATGGTACACCACCAAATTTTGGAAATATGAAGAGCCATTAGCTTATTGCAGTTGAGTGTGTGGGTTCACTGAGAAGCTTGTCAAGAAAGACATCAAAGCAAAATGTGTTACTTCATTTTGGCAGCAATGGAGTCATCAAGATTTGTCATAGCTCAAATGGAATATGATGCCAAAGCGGTGCCAAAAATTCACAACATTTTTGTTTAGAATTGATTGCAAGAAGGGTTAATGTTCTTGTTAACTGCTCACTGCTGTGGACTGAAGATTGTATTAACATCTGCCAGTTGTGAATGTTAGCAACTGTGGGCTGTTCAAAAATTTGAATTTTTACAGATTTGTTTTGATAGTATTTTGTCTTTGATGTTGACAAAGTGGCCTTTGGCTGTAGTAATTCTCATGATGAATGTATTAGTGTATTATACTATGGTACAAAATAGGAAATTTTCCAAGATTTGCACAGTTAAGTAGATGAAAAAAGTTTAAAAGCCTTTTTTGTACTCAGTTATTTTTCCTTGCAATAAACTAGAATTTGGACCATTGGAGATATGTGTCATATAGTAATTTGGATTGTAAGTAATTGTATAGAATATATATTTATGTAATTATGGAAGCACTCTCTTATGGGATTTACAAATTTAATACATCTGTACCTGTAGACTGTAGTGAAATGAGACCATTTTGCAAAAGTGTCTATCAACTATATTTAGTGCATTACTAAAGAGAAAATAGAAGACATTTTGTTTTTATGGTAGAAATAGCTCATTATTTTGATATTTTATAGACAATTTTATTATTTGAATAGATAACAAGAATAAAGTTAACCAATGGCAAAGTACATGACAGGAATACTGAATACCGCAAGTCCCCACCTGCTGTAGGTCCCCTATCAATCATTGGCATCTTTAGCAAATTAATGGCCATGTCTTCAGTGGAGAAAATGAGCTGATAGTTTAGTTATGCATTTATTTATTGGCAAACACTGCCATGATTAGATGTGCAATGATGCACATACACTGATTTTGGTAACTTAAGCTAATAGGAAATAAAGGGAGCACAGTGGTTAGGGAATGATGAGGTAAGTTGATATTAACCTGGGTTATTTAGTACGTGTTGTTATAGCGGATTTCTTGCTTGGTGATCATTATAAGGTGGGGTGAAAGAAAATATGTGGTTAAATGATATCTTTTCCATTTGGTAATATGTGAAATCAACCTCATAAACATTGTATTTAATATAAGGAAACTGGGAAGATCACCCCTTTAAATATCATGCATATAGTGTATGTGGGCACACATGCATGAAAGAAAACCAAACAAAACAAACGAACGAAAAAAAAAAAAGACTGTCACAAACTTACTCTGGATCAAAACAGACAACAGATTTCAGTTCTTTAGTTTTAACTAAAAAGTCCTTTTATGTTGTGCTGGTCTGTGATATTATAAAACTGCTCATTCTTACAGGATTTTATGTAAAGTGCACATTTTTCATTTTGAAATAGAAGTTTATGTCAGTCTGTTTCAGGGCTTATAGGTGGTGGTGTGGGGGGGGGGGGAGGACGGGAATGGTTTGAATGGGTGTGCTGTGAATCAAAATTTGATCTAGGTTCTCTATCCATTTCCGAAGCTGGGTTAGCCGAGAGGGTGAAAAGATATGTCGATCTACTTTTCAGTCTTTTTTAAATTTCTGTTTGTGTGCTCATACGTACAGGCACGTGGGTGCACGTATGCATGCATGCACACACACACATACATACACACACACACACACACACACATTTCTGAATATATTCTGTATAGTCTACTTTATAACATATATATATAACCAGGGCAGAGCAATTTGATTTGTCTTCCATTACCTCTTTCATTAAGAATTGTTGCCTTAATTATAAAGTGTTAAGAGAAAAAAATATTTCTCCACCTTCAAGGAAAATGGCCAGGTTGATGTGAACTTTACAACCAAGTTAGCTGTCTGTAATTGAATGGAAAATTGTGTAAGTTGTACTTGGCAGCTTGGCAGGCTAAGGCATGTGCAACTACTGTGATTTACAAGCACCATTTACTCACCAGTAATTCAGAGTTAAAGTAGTTGAGTTGAGAGCATGATCTTGTTTACTTGAGAAATAGTTTCATTGCCAGGACTTTACAAAACTTCTTGACATGCTTTCCTTTTTCATCATATTAAACATTTCAAGACTCATTCAGCTAATGCTTGTCATCATTTCTATAGACAAACTTAAACACTTTGTGTCTGAACATATACCTGTGTCTGCTGTTTCTGTCACTGCATTTTCATGGAAGTTTATTCGCCAGCACCATAAAAGGAAACTATGGGCTCATTCCCAAACAAACTATTGTGTTATGTAGAGAGATCTAACTCCATAGTTACTCTTACTGAATGTAATCAGCTTAGCAGATTAACCTGCTGTAGAGTTGAAATGATAATTTTCAGCTCAATGAATCAAATCTTGATTGATTGATTGATTCACAGATTAAAAATACAGCTTGACTTTTCTGATCTGTTCTGATCAGATTACTTTTTCTTCAAGTTATAGTTTTTTCCTTTTTTTTCATTATCACACATTTTCCAGAAGCAACTCTGAGTTCCCATGGGTCTGACCCACCTCTCTCCATTTTCTGAATGTCCATAGTAACAGTAGTAGTAGTTAAAATTGGTAATGTTTATGCTTGTAAACATTGGGTTATATTCCATCACTATAGGAAAAAAAACATTCTCTGTATATATTGGTTGTTCATCATTTTAGACTGTTTTAATGTCACTTCTTCTGTCAGTTATGTCATTTATATGTCTGTCCATTTGACAGCTTTGCTGCCTTGTTTTTTTTTTTTTTAATTTGGGTTTCTAGTTTGAGGTTCTTTATCCAAATCTTTAAATAGGTTGCATATATTCCTGATTTCCAGTGTATTTGTATATGCACACAATACCTAGATTTTACAAATAGATAGCATGTTGTTGTGCCCCACAATCAAGGTGAATTGAGGGACAACTCCCCTGCCCCCTCCATAGGATAAGGGATATTTTACCATAGTTGTTTTATCATGTTTCTTCCAAAGTCATTGAATTGAAGTATTTCTATCAAAAAGATATCATTTTAAGCATACAGAATGCTGTTACGGTTGATTGAAAATAGACATCTTGTACTTGTAAACTTTATTAGAAAACAAAGTACAATTTTTAAAAAGTATTATTGGAGCTCCTTTCATCTATAGTGATCTCTGAAGTGCTCCCCAGCAAAGGTTGAAGTTACATTAAGAAGGAAAAACAGTTCTGCAATTATTTACAAGGCTATTGAGATCCTGGACATCAGAAAGAAAAAGAGGGCCAAGGAATAAGTTATCCTTTGATTATTTGAAACATAGACAAAACAAAAAAGCACTCAAAATTGGCTTCCGATTTTTTATTGACTGATTTTGTGTTGGCCTTAGACCTGAAAGTGGTTTGAGATTAAGGAACAAAAGAAAAGCAAACACGGGATAAATTGTCTGTGACTACCACCTGATTAAAAGGCTCAAGGGAATGACAATTTCACTTGGTGTTTCATTGAGAGGTAATGAAGATCTATGGGTACTGGGAAGACCTGGTGGTGAATTAACTTCTCATTGTTTTAGCCTTAGTTATTGGTACTTTTTGCTTGTTCTTAACTGAAATAAACAACTTTGAATGACTGGAAAAGAAAAAAGGGAACTTGATATTTTAGATTTGTACTGTTATATATTCTTATTTTTTCCATCAAAATATAACTAGAGTTTTTTTAGGAACAGAGTGAAGATAAGTTGATATTAGTATTTTTTATTCAAAGCATGACTTCCTAAAGATAAGATAATAAGATTAAATGCATTTTTCATTTTTGAGCATGGTTTCTGTTTAATCTGCTTATATTGTTTAAAAAGTATAACACAACAATAGTTTTCCTTTTCAGTAGACAACTTGGAAAATTATTGTGGTGAAAACTGAGTCTAATGTAACCCCATCACCCTTACAAAGATCTTGCATTAGGGAGTTGTAGATGGCAAAATTTAAGATTAAAAGTTAACAGAAACATTGCACTTGATTTGAGATGGTGAAAGGCACAAACGATGGAATCCTGAGTAAACACTTGAGGAAAAAAAAGTTGAATGTTCATACCAGAAATTTTTGCAAACATTTTAAAGTGGTTTAATCATGTATGCTACTAAATGGCCTAAGTCAAACAGGGCTTAAGGAACTTTTTATTCAGATACTAGCAGGTTGTCCTAATTTGCAAACAGGGGAAGCTATTGATGTAATTTTCAAACAATGGGGAATGTCACCATTTTGAACTTTGTTTATTTTTGTTGTGTAGTTAACATGATCGGGTCATAAGGCAGCCGAATTTTTAAATCAACTGCCAGAGGTACTTGTATAAACCCTCTCTTTTTGACTGTTATAGCATTCTGTATTTGTTTACTGCACTTATAAGTGAATAGTGTTGGATTTGGTTCAGTTTCAACATCGCCCATTGAAAGCATGTTTTCATTTTATGCATTCCCTTAAATATACATTGTTCTTTTGATGCAAGTATTTTGACTTGAAATCAATTTGAAGTTTTTATTTGATTTACCCTGTCCAAAAGTAACAGAGTGCCTAAAACCAAGGGTCACATAGAAGAAACTAAGTCCACATTATGAGCCCTAAACCTTCCCCCAAGTGTGTGCTTTCAAGGACAAGGCAGACTGAATGTACTGTTGTCTGCATTGTAATCTGAGAATGATGAGAAGATGGAAACACAAAAGTGAGCCTGGGCTGGATGTGATGCGAATATGAGAGATTGAATTTTTGTTAACATTTGTTGACTCAAAAATCCATTCTAAATAAGGGTATTTCTGTCAGAGTCTGTGTAAATTTTGTGTGGTGATGATTTTTTTCATATAGAAGTTGAACTGTTGTTACTTGTAAACAAGGGGGAGAGAAAATAAGATACCAGTCATAATTGTTATTAAAAGATTAAAAATAGTTTAAAATTATTATTTTTCAAACAAACATATATCTCTCAAATGGTAGATGTTAACATGCTTAACTGACAAAAATTTAAGAAAATTAATGAATTTATATCATACTATAAAATTTGCCCGAAAAAATAATTGTTGTATAGTTTTTTTGTATGGGAGTTTTATTATCTTATTTCAGATCTTATACAACAGGGAAAGAAATCCAGGCATTATTTATTCTTACACTACTCCTGTGACATCAGCAACGAGGTATGGCCAATCAGATTCAAGCAGGTATAATTCTCGGCGCTATGGTAACGGGCATTATTATAGGCCACACAGGCCGTCCAGCTATTCCTATCCTTGGGCTTACAGGTATCTAATCCTGACTTCCAAGATTTCTTCCAGTTTTTGCAGTCAGGCCTACAAAATATACACTAACTTTTTCTAAGTAAAAATGTCACTTTTCACTCATTGAATTGTTATAAGATGTTTTCTTACAGTCCATTAACCTGGTGGGGTAAAATGGTGCATGCTTTTTTCTGCAAATCTCATTTCAATTAAATAAAGTAAATATTTATTTTGTAGGCCTGATCAGATATTTTCAGAAATAGATATTTTCAAGGAAGGTTAACTTTTTTTGTAGTATAATGATATTTTTGAATATCATGTTGTTATGAATATATTTGTTGCAGTAAACAGTAGAAAATATATTGGATTGGAAGAAATCAGGTGTCCTTTCAGATGAGGTACCTTGCAGAATGCACTGATGTGCTTCATGCTGTCAGGCTATCACTAATATTTACCTTCATACTAACTCTTATGGATCTAAATTTCATTTTTCCATGTAATTGGCTTCCTGTCATACCCCAATGTCCAACCACGTGTGCTAAAAGTTTGCTTTGAGTTTATGTACATCATTTTTGTCTCTGCTGAAGCTTTCTTTGTAATTTCTGCATGGCAAATTTACACAACCTTAACCTATGGTTTTTTATAGATATTTTGAGCATGTTTTGAATGGTGACCAATGGTTTTCTTTTAAAACTTTTAAAAACGACTGAGAATCTGTGTATTAAAAAGTTATGCAAAAGTACTAAGGGGTCTGGATTGTGCCCCCCACAATCGTGCCTGGCACTTTAAGTGCACACTGTATTGAGGACACCTGGAATTCTACGCTCAATTTAAACCTAAACAAGTTTGCCTATTACTTGATTAAGTCCATTGGTTAGTGACATTGCGTACAAAGCCATGGTGGTAACTTGAGGATAATAAACACATGTTCTAATGATTTTTACTTGTGAGTTAATGTTCAAGATCAATCTTATTTCTTTAGACAACAAAGTGATCCCACTGACCCCAGGCTGTCCTTCAATGAAGCCCCAAGATATCTGACAGATGATGATTCTTCCAATAATCAACAATACCAAGCTCAGAGAAGCAGTCAGAGATACAGCAGCCAAACTCACTACACTAATGGCAACACTCAAAGTAACAGTAGATATGACACAAGGTATTCAAGAAGGCAGTATAATTCAGGGTATTACCGCCCTGGACAACACCAAACGCCTACATCTCACCAGCAGCCTAATGTTCAGAACCGCTACCAACCAAGCAGTTACTCCTACCAGAGAGGTACAGGAGGGGTGAGGTACAGGTATAACAATAGACGACAACCAGTGACCACCGATAGGCGTGGTCAGGGCACAGCCTCACAGACAGCTGGACATGCTGTGAATGACCAAATACAGTTGAATCTTCCTGAGAAGGACAGGACATCGGGGCGTGGTGTGGGGAACACAGGCAGTTTCTCCTGGAGGATTTCTGGCTTTACGGAATGTTCACACACTTGCGGAGGAGGTAAACCTTCCATTTCAAAATTTTTACGCTGGACTAAAGTTAGTGAAAATTGTTTACCATTGTCTTATCAAATTCCTGTGTGACTTTTTTTGTTTCTGTCTCCAAGTCAATTAGATTTGGCTGAAAACTTGGGACAAATTGATTTAAACATGAGTTATGCTAAGGGTAGTACTAAAACAGTTAATGAACTGTGGTTTTTTCAGAGTCACTTATCTGTGTGTTTCATCGTGTTATGTCTGAAACTTTTGGCATCCCTGATTTATGAGGCTACTATTCATTTAAAAAGTGTAACCTGTCCTCTAAAAGATCATACTTGGTATTCTGAATTTCCTTTTTCTGTCTAGTTAAGTGTTAAAATGGAAGAAAAAAATGATCCCATGGGATGTGAACCACTTCTTTACAATGAGCCGGTTTGACTTCTAGTACTTAAATGGGGAGCTCCTCTGTAAAATTGTCACTATAGTTCACTTGAGATAATGTGTGCTAAAAAAAACTTGACATAACCTGTCAGTACTAAGAGGTGATTTTGAAACAATTTATGACTGCAATTACCCTTAGGGCAAAAATTTTACTTTAAGTAAAAAGTGTTTGTGGATTTGATTAAGGACCAAATTCCATCTAAATGATGTTTGGTGACACTGCTGTTAACCCTGCCACAGTGTATCCAGGGAATTCTTTCCTGTTTTACAACAAAGGGCATTTGGTTATTCCGTACATTTATCAATAGTAGATATTCTTTTTAGATTGAAATGGAAAGAGTCCCCACCTACTGACCTGCTATGGTCATTTGAAACCATTTGTATGAATAACGCATCTAGGTATAAGATATTAATAAAATGTCACCGATACAATACAGGACACAAAGGAATGCTTATAGAGCCCTGGTAAACAAAGCTTTGCCATAAAACCTTGAGGTGGGGCATCTATTCCTCACAGTGACAGACATATATTGGGTTTATTGGTGACAGAAACTGAGTTTTGTGTGCTTCTTTATGCATATGATTTCCTTTTTTTGACAAATTTCATAAATCAAAAATCCATTATTTTAGGGACCCAGAACACCATCATTGTGTGCGTCCAAGGGAACTCCCTGGCTGTAGTAACCAATGACAACTGTGATAATGCCATAAAACCTGAGCTCCAGACTGTCAAGTGCAACAATAATCCATGTCCCCCTGGGTATGGTTACAGTGAACAGAATTACATCAGTGTTTTTAAAAGATAATTTAGATTTAATTTAAAGAGTATTTTGAGTAAGAAGCTTATTAGAGTCTTGAAAGATGCAAGCAACCATTTGTAGAATGAATTTATAAAGTTTGCCAGGGTGTCTTATGAAGAAATTATGGACTAGTACTGATGGCATTACACCTACAATTTGATGAATAATGTAACTTCAAACCTTAAGCATGTATGTTGAAGAATTGTGATAATAAATAATTGTTGACCAGACTACTCGAGAAAGGTCAACCTAAAGAGACCAAACTATTAAGATGCCCTTATGATAGTGTTATCAGTGTCATCATCTCAGCAGGAACTACTGGCCTACAACTTTTAAGTCTAATTTTTTGTGAATGGGTAGAAACACGGGGAGGTCATTTAGTGCAATCAAAAGAAAATGATGTGGCCCATTCATGCTTCCGTTTCAAGAAAAAAAACTGGTGTTAAGATAAACTTCTCCCTAAGTGATTGTCTTTGTAAAAGATACCAGAAATATGTTTTAGAAAAAAGAATTCTTCATTTGCAATACTCAAAAATAACAACATTTATATCCAGTAGCTGTTTTCTGAGTAGGTTGTGTAGCGTGTCATTTTACATGCATGAATTATTAGTAATAAAAGGCAGATATTGCCAGCTAATATTATTTCTAAAAAATAATAAATAAATTCTAGATGGAACACTACAGAGTGGAGTGAGTGCACAACAACATGTGGCTTGGGTCAGAAGAGCAGAAATGTGGAGTGCAAGCAGAGAATTTCTGCTGCATTGATCATCAGTGTGACGGCAAACCTGTGCGCCAAGGAACCTCGCCCTGCTGAAACTCAGAGATGTGATTCCAACCCACCCTGTGCAGAGTGGAAGACTGGGGAATGGGGACCTGTAAGATTTGATTTTATACTTTTTTTCAGTATTAGTATGCTTATGTATCAATGAGAGCATTGAAGTCGAGAAGAGCTGAGGTCTAGCAAGGCCGAGACCTAAATCCTTTAATGGTCTCTCAATGAATGTCATTGAAAGTCATTGAGAGACTGTTAAAGGATTAGGCGGTCTTCCTTCCATGTAGGTCTGCCATATTTAGGTCTCGGCCTTGCTAGACCTCGACTCTTCTCGATATGAATGCTCTCAATACTGCCACGTTGGCAGTAACGTACCTGGGGTGAAAGCTATCTTACCCATAAGGCCTCTGTGAGCCCTGGCAGCAGGCAGGTTCATACTTGCAATGCAGCACCATGCATCCTGCAGTGTTGCTCTCTGACTCTTTTGCAAACCGTATAAATTAAAGGAGCGTACCATAATGTTAGCGTCACTGTAAGCTAGGACAAGCTGTTTAAGATTCAGAACATTATGTCATGCAGCTAAATGCTTATATACCCAGTAGTTATTGCTGCAGGTTGAAAACTTCGTTACATATAAGCCTGAAATCATAATCAAAAGAATTGCATTTAAACTGCTACATAGAAAAGCTACTTTTTTTTAAATGAAATGTCCAGACAGCTTGAACTCTTATTAGTTAAAATTTATTCTTGTTTTGAAAGAACTACACGGGGCCAATTTAACCGTAGAGTAATTTGTTATATCACTGGACCATATTCTGATGGAAAAAAACTTAAGTTCATTTCACTGAAGTGGACTTACATTTTTTTCCCATATGGTTGAATACCATCAGTTTGATCAAATGCACTGGGATGTGAAGAGGCATTTCCTATGTTCTGTTACAATTCATTGACTGAACATGCTGTAAAACCTGTTCTCAATATCCCTCTGGGTGAATTATTTCCACCATTCGTCTGTGTAACCTGCAAGTCATGCACCACTTTGATAAAGTTACCCTTTACCAAAGCTGTCTTTTATTCTTCATTATACACCTGTAAACTGTCTGGCTTTTTTTCTAGTCCTCACAATCTAATGGTGCTGCACTGCATTTAATTGAAAAGAAAATGCATTATTTTTGTCAACATTTGAAATAAAACCCTAATTTAAAAGTCTGCCACTGTGCTTATGTCTCCAGCATTATTCTCTGTTATAAGCAAAAAAAAAGATCCCAAGTGTCAAGACTACGAGACATTTTTGAATTTATGAAGTAATTTTATTTGACAACTAACAAATTCTCCTGGAGCATGTTAAAAATACCAAACTCCACTCCTGCTGTTTTGAGGTGATAAATACAGTTTTTCATTTACTCTTAGCAATTTTAGGTGTTTTGCTGAATTATTTTCCAAAGTTGTTGTCAAAAGTTCCCCATACCTCCACCATGGAAAAATCAACTTAGATAGCCAGTAAATCATCATTAGGTCTCCAACTGACAGCTGAGCTGGCATTCTTTAGTGTTTCTCTATTGTTGATTTCCTCTAACCTTTTACACCATTGTGCAATTCAAACCTTCTCTTTTTCTGTAGAAGAATTCAGTTATTGTACCAAACTTCTCTTTACCATTGGTTTCTTGTCTCAAATATTTAGCTCCTGTTTGTTTGTCATGGTTCTTGATTTCTCACTTAAGATGAGGAAACCTGCATTTTTTGAATATCCTTTATACATAAAAATTTAATCCTGGCTGTAAAGTGTAGAATAAGCTACAGCCCTTATTTTTGTATGGGAACTAAAGAAACTGATTTTATCTATGTGCACATATAATCCCTAAAACAACTTGTACATGTAATATACCTGTAGATGGACACCATGTATATCTGCTTTTTTTTTGCATTCTTAAAAAAAGGACAATATCAATGAATTTTTGGCAGGCGTCAGTCAATTTTTGACATTACACACTCAAAGCAATGGTGTCTCAAGTATTTAGCAGCAGTAAATTCTAGGTCCAGTAGAATTAACTGAAGTGGATCACACACATTTAACAGAGGAGAGAAGTGATCTAATTTGTGACTAAAGGGTGGTCCTTTTATCTGAGCTCAATGAATATGCATGGTAATGTCTAAAAATATACAAGCTGTTTCACAGTAGTTGTGTATAATTTGGTATGGTATGGGTGGTCCTTTTTTTGTCACCGGTGACTTAAAATTCTTAGAGCACTTATGTCAGTTTTAATTTTCTTTTTACAACCCAGTCAGGACACTTCAATGGAAGGCTGTGTTCACATATAAGGTCAAACACACTCTCTTGAAATGACAAAAATTTCTAGGAGAAATTATTCAGATATTTATGTAGTGTACGTACCAGAGACAGATGTGAATTGAGCTCTATGTCAGATTTCTCTTGAATGTTGTTTTTTTATGTATTGTTATGGAACAGCACCTGGATGCTTCCTGCCTTAAACTCACACACTCACCAGGTGCTAGAAGCAGTTTATATTTCTATATCATTGCCAATATAACAATGTTCAGTACAAATCCTGTTCAGTACAAATCCTGTTTATATCTTGCAGTGTTCAGTTAACTGTGGCCATGGGAAGAAGAGCAGAGAAGTGAAATGTATAGACAGCGAGGAAACCAGAGTTCCTGACAGTCAGTGTGATGCTAATAGAAAACCCAGGAATGAAGAAAGCTGTGATGCTGGAGAGTGCAGGAAGGAATGGTATTACACAAAGTGGACAGATACGGTTAGAGCACAGTATTAGATATATATATATGGATACAGTTTAACATATTACAGTGCACTGCACTTATTAATTAACAGTCTACATGAGAAAAGGTCTGCTATAAAAAGGGTAGTTCTGAAAAGGACATCACTGAATAGAGCCCATTGTGAAAAAACATTTTTGAATGTGTCCAGGGAAGAAAAAATAACTGAGAGAAATTTATTAATTTTGACAAACAGAAAATATACTTTAATCATAGCAAATGACTGAGTGAATTATTAACTTAAATTAATGTTATTTTTCATTTTGCTGGAAGCAAGTGTATTAGGATTTTTTATAAATACACTCATACTCCCTGAGCATTGAAAGTCAATTTCCATTGTATTTCACTTTTCAGTGTTCCACAGATTGTGGTGGGGGCCAGTATTATCGTAAAGTATGGTGTGGAGCAGAAGATGGCCTGAGCTGTGACAGGGAAGACAAACCTGATAGTGAAAAGCCATGCAGATCTGATCGTCCATGTGGCGGGAAGTGGTTCATGGGGCCATGGAGCTCTGTAAGATTTATTTGACTGTTGGAATGTGAACAAATACATTATGGCATTCGAGAGTATATCCTACCCTATTGCATTTCTTTTTCTTAGATGCTAAATTGATTTGAGGATTTATTTGTCCTTGTTGTTTTCCCTAAAATGTCAGTTTGATGATTTTAGGGGTTAATTTAATTTATTTAAATTGTTTTAATGTCCAGTGTCACTACCAGTAATTTATTGATTTGCAGCTTTTTTATAATCAGCATGTAGTAAATGTAGAACAGGTGTAGCTTATAAATTAGATTTTATCCCTGTTTATACATTTTTTGAGATATTTTCTATATTTTGCAATCATTACAGCAATTATTGTGATGGAAATTGATATTGCAAAGTATAAAGATCAACGTTTTGATATAGTGTAGACCAAATCAAATAGAAGTAATCATGTTTACTTGATGTGATATAGAAAATGAATGGAATTATGCTTTCAAATTGGAGAATTCTTTTCAGATTTTTTTCAAGTACGTGTAAAACACAAAGAAGATTATGAAAACTACAATGATTTATCTTACAGAACATTATACCCATTCTTACATTATTATAAGATATAACAAAACTGAAAATTTTGATGCTTTTTCTTTCAGTGTTCCTCCTGCTCTGGAGTCCAGACCAGGCATGTCATATGTATCAAAGAAGTCCACCCAAATTACTGGGCACAGGTAGCAGACAACAACTGTGTCACAGAGGACAAGCCAAGACAGGAGCGTGCTTGCCAGTCAGAATCTTGTGGAGCAGAATGGTATCTGAGTGACTGGGGATCAGTGAGTATTATTAATATTAAATGTGTCTGCACAGTCTAGAATGTTACCTCCATCAATGCCTTTTAGCACAATTTCCCCCACAGTACTTCCTTTCAGCATGAATTATTTTTGTATTTTTGTTTCCTATGAGTGTGACATGTTTGATTCAACAAGTCATGTTGAATAAAAATCAAGAATTGATATATTAAATATAACCTCTGGGAAAACATTGGCTAAAAATCATGAGGTTTTATGTCCAAAGAAAATGCAAACTTCTTGAATGTATGATTTTATAAAATCAACATCTTTCTTTTCAGTGCTCTGCTAGTTGCAGTGGAGGAATTAAATCAAGATCTGTTAAATGTTTAGACAAAGATCAAAAGCCCAGTAATCACTGTAAAATCACAGATAAACCACCGACTCAAGAGAGCTGTAACCTTACTCCTTGTCCAACTGTTCCTACAGGTACGTAAGCTTTATTTGCATGCTGCTTTGTTTTATTCAAATGTCTAAAATGCTTACGTTCTAATCTGATCCAGGATAGATTTGATCCAAATATATTTAAATTATAAAAGACATTTTGAATGTGTTGCGTAATGCAATGACTTTGTACTTTTTTTTTTTTTACTTTATCAGTGTTGCAGTAATTTATTTCTATATAATTATTTTAAAAAAAAACATTTGGCTCATGTGTGAATGATTTGTTACAGGTCTAAATTGCTTTAATCTTTGATCTGAGGATATCTTACAGTAGGATTATTATTTTTTTATTGCAGACTTCTTTCATCTCTTTTTATCTTCACTTTCTTGCAGATCCAAAATGTAAGGATGAATATTCTAATTGCCGTATTGTGGTTCAAGCGAGACTGTGTTCATACCAATACTATCATAAAGCATGTTGCAAGTCATGTAAAGTGCATAACTAAAACCCTGCTATTTGACACCAGTTGAAGCAAGACGCGATAGAAAAAAAGTATTACCAACATAATATTCATAGGTGCCATGTACATGACATAAGCACAAGCCTTTGGATTTTCATGATGATTTTCACAACGCTTTTCACAATCATGCCATTATTGTGGAAACCAGGACTTCTTATTATCCACTGTCACCTTAACGTCACCTGAGGAGCACCCATATAGAACTTAATGCAGGACTTAAAAAGATTGTTTACAATTAATATACATAATGCAACTGCAACAGGAGGTATAGGTGGCTGGCAGACTAAGAAATGGCCATTTTATATTTTGTCCATCATGTGACAGTAGAAAAAAGGGATTATTTAACAAAACCACTTGAATATGACATGAGATAATTTCGTTTTTCAGGTTCACAAGTGACCTTATCTTGTATTGTGTTGACGCACACACAAAAAGTTATATTTGTATTGAAGAACAGAATCGTTTAACTGGTTAATGCCAATGTCACAGGCATCCATATTCCTTGACAAGCTCTTGGGGGTTTGGTTCTTCCTCAGTTCTGAACAGATTTCCAGGGTACATTTCTTCCATTTTTCTATTTATTGTGAGCTTCAACATGCACATCATGTTTTTACAAATTGAATTAAAGCTTTGCATTATGTCTTACTTAATGCTATATGCATCAATGTAAACTGTGATTTACATCTTGCAATGGATGTATGCTGAGTGAGAGGTTTTTTTTTTATGAATACAGACAAAATTAAATGACACAGTTGCTTTACAGGAAGTAAAGAAAGTGAATAACATATTTATTTATATAATTTGGTCAAGAAAAAAATATGAAGTAATGATCATTTGTGACCTCAAGATTATTTTAGTGATTAAAGTTTGTATTGAAACATTGACGTGAGGCATTTTGGTGCTAAAAGTCTGTACAAAGTTGATTTTTTTTTCGAATGAAGTTGTGATAGACAAGCATGAATTAACACAATGTATCTTGCTTCTAGAACAAATGGCTGGGAGAATCTCTGCCTGCATATCTTGAAAATTATTTATCGTAATAGTTTGGTTGTTAAAGTATCTTATAATTTTTTCAATGTTGGAAATGGGTTATTTTTAATGTCTACATCTTCACTGGCCATTGTAGAGCTTAATAGCTCTTACCAACTATTTCACAATCTATCAACACACTTTCATACAAAAACAAACTTGACTGATTTCATCATATTTGTTTTCATCATACACATTAATCATCTTTGTCTTGCAACCATTTTGTTATTGTTAAAAGCTATATTTCTGTTGTATTATTTAGAGTTAGGTTTATACTTGTTAGTAACACTGCCAGTATTTTATTGCCAATATTGAATTTAATGTCCGCATGACATTTGCACACGAAGGGTTTTAGGGCAATTTGCCTTTTTGCTAGTACATTTTATATAAAGATTTGCTTCCATGTAGTTTTTGGATAACCTGGTTGAATGGCTGTGATTTTATACCACTGATAAGGGCTTTATCGAAGTTTATTTATGCCTTGATCAATAAAAAATTAAATTTACATTTTGAATGATTTTGTCAATAACTTTGTTAATATCAAGACATACGGTGTCAGCCTGTTTGGTTCAAACAGTTATACTGAGGAAATTCCACTGGTTTTTGATGACAGAACTTTGATTCATATATGCATTTTACTCACATTTAAAACAAGTTGTATAGGAAACCATTAGAACCAGTTATTTTAAACTATTCAGTTTAACATATTAGAGCTTCAGGTCAACATTTCATGCCATATCTTTCAATGTTTGTTTTTTGTACATTATGTTAATACCATGAAATTGTATTTAGTTGAACTTCATTTATAATAAAACAAATTTAATCACATTTTGTAGTTTTGACTTATTGCTCAAATATTCTGTAATTTGTCATTTGGATTTGACAGTCACAGTAATATCTTTATAAACAATTTTGTCAAGATAAACTTCATATTAAACAACTACAAATGTATGTAAATAGTTCTCATCTAATTTTTTCGAGGAAAAAAAACATGACATTAATCAAATTAGTCTTGGAAAATCTCAGTTCACTTTTGAATTGTTTCACTTTTTTTTATATCCACAAGTTGTTTATGTGAAAATAAGTAAGTTAAACAACCAGTTATATCTATAGTTTTTTTCACCAGTGGAGAAAAACACATGCATAATTTCTAAAGTTTGTTTAATAGTTCTATAAATGCTTTTCCAGTCATAGACATACATTGATACAATCAAAATAATTCCATTTTCTTCATTATCTCTTCCCTTCCTTTTGTTCAGTTCATTCTGGGTGACTTTTTGTTATAAACCATGTACCATTTATGTTATAGAAAAGTCCTTGGCTCACTGTAATATATACACAGTTACAGCACAGCATCTTCACAATTTACAGTCACAAACTCCAGTGCAGAGATTTGTCTCTCTCCTCCACTTCATTAATCTTCTTCAACTGGATTCAATACCATCTATTTCAACTACAAAAGAAATAAAAAAAAGCTTCACAGCTATGTTTACAGAGTGAAATAATTGCTTTTTGAGTAAAAAGTAGGTCAAGGTGCAAAGATGTCGAGTGATATATGATATAAAACATTGTATTTAGTTTTATTTAGAATTTTACACACACACACACACACACACACACACACACACACACACACACACACACACACACACACACACACACACACACACAGTTTAATGTAATGTACTGGAGAAACGATGTGATTGAGATTACTGGGTTCAACATTGGGGTTGACAATTGCTTCAACACAAAGATGTTTAGACTGGAGTGAAAAGATTATATTGAATATAACCTGAAAAGGTTATATTACAAAAGATAATTACTGTTTATTGTATAATCTTGACCATTGTTCAATCAAAAACTTCTAACTGAAAAGGAAGACACATCAAATATGGAGATATCTATCCTTAGCTATAAATTTCCAAGAAAGAGACATTTTGAACAGACAAAGCCAATGCTGCCAGTAAAAATTAATACTGCACCACAACAAAAGCTGACAGACATATTGCCAGTTTGATGGATAAAAATTACCTTAATGATTAAAAATTTATGAAGATGAAGATGCTGCCTTTTTCTTCTTTTCATCCTCAAGTTTCTTCTCTTCCTCTTCATGTGCCTTGATGAGTCCTTCTACTTCACTCTGTCTCAATATTCTAATTCTAGTTTTTCCATTTTCTCTGGTTAGAGTTGATAATTCAACTGAAATAAATAGGATTTGTTAAGCTAAAATGCAATATAAGTGAAAATGGGCATGTGCACCTAGACCTACATTTCTTGTTATGCTTGTGTAATTTGCCTTAATGTGTTAAATAGTGAGAAACAAAAGCTCACAAAGAAATGGATAACTTTCCAAACTTCATTACACTGTTTCTATTGTTTATGGAAAATTCTGCTTACTTTTTTCTGCTGTTAACTTGGTCATATCCAATGTTTTATTTAGCACTTTGATTGTAAGTGCCAAGGCTGCCTTCAAATCCATTTCATCTTCTTTGTATTCCTGTTTCAGCAATGAAACCGCAGCCTAGCATTGAGAAAATAAAATACAAGTCAAAATGTTTTTATAAAATAACCTTTATAGACCAAAAAAAGAAACATGGTTTGTTTAAATTAACATATTTTCAATAGTTACGTAGATGGAAAAGTTTCATTTATGAATATTCATCCCTTTTCATCACTAAAAACATTTTTCTGACCAATTATATTTAACATTCATGTGTTATAATCCAAACAGGAATAGTCTGCTTACTGCACTGTTATTGCCAATACAAGTAGCTTTCCACCCTCCATAGTTTCCACTTGGGTCACTCTGATACAGCTGGAATCCATAGTGCTTGTCCCAGCCCATGTATAATAGAGACACTCCAAATGGTCTTTTACCTGTAATAATTATAAAGAAAAATGTTTCATCCTGAATAATGAAAAACTTCTTTTAAATGAACACAAAATTATGAGGGGCTCCTTCAAAGAAGAATCTATAAAGATATCGAATTATAATACCTAACATTAATAAAATATCAATTCTGGTCATCTAGCATTCACAATAAGACTGTACTTCAGATTACCCTTACATATTCTGGAATATCCAGAACATAAAACAAATCTCCAAAGAACATCAGCTATGTTCCCCCCTACCTCCATATTGTGTGTAAGCCTGCTTGATATCACACAGGTGACTAACTAACTGTTCACATGGGATGGGTTCCTGGTATTGGAGATAAAACCTGGAATCAAAGGAATGGCAATTTATTTTTTATTTATTTTTATTTTTTTTGCAGACAAATAACTGACAACAATAGTGAACATGTCTGCAAAACCAAACAGGGGCTATTTGGTTCAAAATAGCACATTACCTTCTTGCTTTAGTTTAATTAACTTTTCTCATTTATCTGCAAATAAAAAGCTGATAAAATAGCTGGACCATATCAAAGGTAAAAACCTTAGTAAATATGCTGTCTTTTTTAATAGTCTATATATAAAAATCAGGGAAAAAAGTAAGATTTTTCTATCTTTTATCTTTCTCCTTTTTTTAAATTTCATCATATTATTACACCGCTTTTAAGAAAGGAAATTCACATCTGCAACTTAAAGTGAACATTTAACGAAAAAATGCATCCATTCACTCAGTTTAAGTCAGTGAAGAAAAAAAGTGGCCTTCAAAACATATTCTGAAGGTAATATTTGAGTTTGGCACTGTTTATGGCAAGTACTAGAAAATAATTCTTACACCAAATTAGCTTGGTATATCTTTATTCTTGCCAAATGCATGAAACATTCTATTAGGTTAAAACTTACCTTTGTGCTATAAGTCTGAGTTCATTGGTCAAAACATTGGCATCTGAAGTAATACCCGCTACACTGCATGCTATGTCCCTGAATTGTAGAGGTAAGGTCAGATACTGGCCTAAATGTTATGTGATATTTGGTAAAACTACTCCAAAGAGAAAACAACAGACTGATTTAACTGAAAAATAAAATCCAGATGTATTGGTCTTAATTTGCTCCAATTTTTCATACTTTTGCTACTTATAATGGCAAAATATTTCTAAGGGCAATAATTCTGGCCTTTTGATGCCACTTACACCATACAACACTGATTTTTGCAAGAGAACAACATAATCATTAGTTATTCTGTACAGATAACAAAGCACTTACTCATGTAACTTGTATATCTTCTCTGAAAATGATACTTCATCTAAGAGTTTGTTGATATTTCTCCTCTCTGCTGCCAACACTACCCCATCCTTGGCTAATATGCCAAGACATGTGCCAGCATGCCCAATGGCTTCCATGGCATACTCCACCTGGTAGAGGCGGCCTAAAAGTAATCAAGTAATTTGGTGTTAAAATTCTACAGTATGATCATTCTCAAAATAATAACCTAGGAAGGAGACCCATTCTTTTTTATGAAATTGTAAATTGATGGGCATTAAATTATTTTCCAAGTTTTAAATGATTGTGACTTAAGTTACACCTGAGTTTTACAAAAGTTGTATTAAGAAAAGATTTACCTTCAGGTGAAAAAATAGTTGTCCTAGAATCATATCTTCTTGCCTAGAAAAAGTGAATTAACAATGCATATTAATTTGATAACTTATCAAAAGATGAATAGGTCACTTAAACAACAATATTTAAAAAAAACTATTATGAAAGGATGGCTACTCATAAACATGGCACTACATTGGCACTAAGTTCTTACAACAAAAAAGCATATGATTAAATGGATATACATTTATAAATGGGCGAACATTTTTTTCAGTTTACAGTGATATAGTATACTTATATGTCTTCTAAATGACATAAAATGACACAAGACAAATTGGACTGTATAAAAATTTTATCTGGTTACTGCTAACTTGGTAAAATGACTTCTTTCAGAATTTTCAAAAAAAATTTAATGGACTTTGTTAAGCACAAATTATCAATCTTCATATAAATTCTACAAATAGCAGACCTTCACAAAATTCTTTCAAAGTTCTAAATTAAACATTTTGCCAAATGAGAAGTAAGTATTTTCTTGGTGCAAAAGCCAATATTTTGTTTATTAGGCCATAATTCAATTATTAAAACCATGTGATGACACCATTTTTTAGTCAAAACTATTTATTTTAATTAAGGAAAAAAAAGCAAAGAGTGTTAGACCTTTTAATGGCAAAGGTTTCTAGAAATTTATGAAGTGAAATCTTTGGGAACAGTTCTCGGTATGGTTCACTTTGGTAATTCAGAGAAAATGTTGAAAATGTTCAAGTAAATTAGATTTCACTATATAAATGTAAGGGTCTGGCGCTCATTGTGTGCCTTTAATATAAGTCGTTCTTTTGTAATTATCAAGTAAGAAAACCATGTCTCCTCTCGTTTTTTTATGTGAAGTAACTACAATGCTTCAAAATTTAGAACAGATATGTAATTAGAGGCTCTGTTATAATTGATGTGCAACTAATTATGGATGGCATTTGTCTGGTCGAAAGCAAATGACACTGCATTTTGTCAATTTAAGAACCTCAAATATTTTCAAAGTGAGTAGCTATTCATCGACACGTTTCCAACCCGTGTCACTTATTTCAATTTTAAACATGCATAATGCAGTGACATTAATACTTATAACCGGCTTGATTATCAACTAATATTTGTGATAAAACAACAATTTTTTGCAGAAACAAGAAACCAAAGACTCACCATGTTGGATATTTGTAGAGCTATGCGTTCAGTTATTTAGCAGTCACAGTTTCGTATTTATTTGTTTTAAACTAGCAATGTAAAATCCTTACAAAATGTATTCAATTTCAATAAAAAGATATCTGTATAAACGTTAGAAGCCATTTACTTTTGAAAATGTAATGTTAGCTGATTTACTGAAATCGTAAACGCATACACATTCCAAGTTTCGGACATTCAAATTATTCCTTGTCTTCTGCAACACCAAGGGCCACATATATTGATGACGTAAAAATTTAAACATCACAACAACATTCAACTAGCAGGCGAGTAGTTGGGAGTTCTCGCCATCAGTTTTTGTATCGCAAACTTTAATGTGAGACTATATTACGGTGATTTTTGTAGAATGGATTAGATTTTGGGCTGTTCACTTTCAAAGAAAGCTAAGAGTTTCAGCGGGATCGAAAGAGTGCAGGTGTGAGCAGTACATTGATTCCCCAAGTAGGCTTCACATGCAGGGGCAGTGGCGATGACCTGGATTTGGTTGTCCTTGGTATTTACGACGCTTTGGGCTTCAGGGACAGCTGTGCCCGTCAACGTAGCCCTAAACAAGCCAGTTTCAGCCAACATCACATGTGGGGCCACTGGTATTGAGACCTACTACGGCCACAATCAGATACTTGTCCAGCCTCGTCTGCGAGTGTCAGGCGAATGTGAAGATGTAAACACTCACCCAGCTACAGCCATGGTGGATGGCGATCCCAATACCTGGTGGCAGAGCACCTCAAGGTCCAGGCTTGTGGCCGCACAGCTAGGACTGACCACAGCTGACCCAGAGGCTATTATTATTTTGGATTTGGATCAGGTATGCATTCTTGGAAATATCTTATTGTGAAGTTATTTGTTGGTATTGTTTGCTATAGTTATATTGACTATGAATAATTAAAAACCCACTTCCAATAATGTAGAAAAAGGCTACGCCCAGGTGTGTCTTAATCATTAATTATGTATGAAAGTCTGTGAGTAATCATGCTGTTTATTTTACATTGCAATTGTCAGTGAACATGCTCCACCATATATGTCAAACTTTAATGTGACATTTAATTGTGTTTAAAAACTTAATTTTACAATATTTGGTGAAGTTAATTTTTTTACCACTTACTGAACATTCTTGTTGTTAAGGATCTATTCTTTAATCTGTCAACCAATTAACACATCCTTATAACTGTTGTGAATATTTAATACAGCCTGTCCAAGGAGGAAGCAATCAGGTCTGGGAAATTACACGAGAGTTAATTACATTAGTTTTTAATTAGTGGAATGCCAAATAAGGAATTGTAACACTATGGATTTGTGTGGTGTGATTTTGAACACTTGCCATCTGTTTGTCAGTTATTTTATTATTTTTAAAGTTAAAGAAACTGAAAATATTTTTTAAAAAGTGAGAATAAGGTTCATTACACAGTGTTTTCCCATCTGTAAAACTTTCTGCCTTTTATCTTTTATGCAAATAAAATTATATTGCCAATTAGACCTGATCTTAAATTTCCAAAAATGTGTTATGAGATTAGAACTGGCACAAATATTTTATGAAAGGAAAACACTTAAAATGGAGGGAAATACTGTGGAATAGAATCAAGAAGCTGATCACAGATGCATGTAGTACGCAAACACAGATATGTGCAAGTGTAACTTTTTTGATTGAAATTGTGAATCAGATGTTGGTCATTGGTATGCAATGTTGAAAACTTCATGCATTTTCTTTTATATGTATACATAATTTTTTTTTTAAATGCAACCTAACAGTCTAAAGACAGATTATAAGACTTTGTTCATGGTTTTAAAACATTACAGTACTTAACTGTTATATTTACAGGGTTGTATATTCAGAGCCTCTAATTACGTATCTGTTTTAAATTTTGAAGTATCAACATATGAAATATTCCCTGTCCATTTTGACTGTGCCAAAAGGGAACAGTGTGCAAGAAAATGGGAGAATATTTGATTTTTCTTTTTCATAAATTATCAGTAAAACTTTTTGTCTTCTTTTTGCCTACAGGAATTCTCAGTGGAACAGATCATACTGAGTATGGGAGACTCAAAAAGACCAGATCGCCTAGCCATTGAGAAATCATTTGATGGAGTAACCTACCGGCCCTGGGTGTATGTGGTGACCAGTACTTCCGAATGCCAGGATATGTTTGGTGTGTCGGAGAGAAAGCAACCAAGTGACAATGTCATACCCATATGTATAAGATATGAAAGTATCAGGGCTACAACAAATGAAACGGTAATAACACATAAATATATGTCATATTTTTTACAAAATTGTAATTATGATTTAAATTGTCAGATTAAATCAAATGTTTGATTAGTGTATACATGCTTTGAGTCTTCTACAATAGCCAGGGAGTCAAGGCATGCGTATCCTAGGCTTCAGATCCAATTGATGTCAGCTTCTTTATTATCAAATCTTCATACATGCATAGCTTGGCATTCAACATTTTTTTTATCAAAAATTATTGTTCTATTACAAATACGACCTCAGGGATAGCACCAGGTAGACGAGGATAATAGCTATGTCACATGCCTTTTTACGAACTTAGAGGCATACAATTTAGATGGTGCCTTGAGCGTTTAAAATTGGCACAGTAAATTTGAATCAAATGCTGCTGAATGTCACTCTGTTAAGCAGTGGAGATTTGAAAATAAGGGCACATTTTGTATCTGGTGTTTTAGATAGGCATTTGGAATTTATCCTAAAATTTCAAATGTCTGTCCAGTTAGAAATAAATAATTTTAATTGTGTATTTTTTTTTTCAGATGACATTTGATTTTCAAGCGTTTCCACTTGCTGTCAAGGTAAAAACTGTTTACCAATTAAGTCCTACAAAGTCTGACAGAACCTCTTCTATCTGAAAATGTACTGTTACATTTTAGACAAATGAAATCAATACAGCTTAGAATCAGACCCAATAACTTAGATGGAAAGGTATGAACCAAAAGGACATTTTTTATCTTAATATGCCTCTTTTTTTTTTCAATTACCACTTTCTACCAAGCATATTGTCCTTCAGTTTATTTGATCAATTTCTTTTTGCTGATAATATTTCTGATTACATTTGTTAATTTATATTCAGGACTGGAAGCTTGCCCGCTATCTCAAGTTGCAGTTTTATGAAATGGAGTTAACATTGGGGGCAACAGGAGATAACTGGGTGAGCATATGCATACTGTTACATAAGATACTGATAAGTCCCATTTTACTTTATCTACTGTATCCAGGTATTTACAAAATGTATACTTGGGAGTAGCTAGGAAATTAGTATTGATTTTATTGATTTAGCAAGTTGTCTGAAAGCATGCATGCACAGTAATCATTTTGCTAAGGTTTTCTGATAAATTATTCAACACATGTGACAAATCTCTTGATGCATTGTATTTGTATTGTACTATTGTAGAATTGTGGCAGATACATCAATATTACCTGGCAATATATGTTAAATTTAGGATTAAATGCATTTATGTTTTTATTCTTATATTTGTATTAAAAAGGCAACTCAAAGTTTGATAGGAGGTTGTTATTAAAGCAATAATAACTCTTCCTTTGAGATTCAAAATTCCGCAAGAAATACATTCTAAACAACACACGGAAATATATTATATTGCATTTCACCACTAAAACGGCTGTTATTGTAGTAAAACTAAAAACTGTGCTTGTCAATAGGACTTTCGGTGCCTTTTTTCCCGGTCATCAAGGCATTTGATGCCAAGGATTTTGGCACATCACGCGGATTCTCGTGTGCAGTCGAGACCAAAATAACACAGGTGCATGACACAATCCTCAGACGTAAGTTGCGAGTTTTTGTACAGTGTGTTGGATAACGAAAAGCCCAGAACTGCACACATTGTGAATATGAGCAATATCGTATGAATCTTATTTTATTGCAATAAAGTGTTGTTGTTGTCTGCTTTTCCCGCGGTTTTAAGTAGGTCATCAGAAAACCGTGCTCGATATGCTATGTTAGAGAGGGCTCCATCAGTTAAAATCACTTAAGAGATTTTAACAAAAAAAACGTACATTTAGGAAAAAAACCCTGGATTAACTTTGAATGCAGGAATGGGGTCGCTGACCATTGGTGAGTACGGGAAAATTGCCGTTTACTCCAGGAAAATCCAATTTTTGGCCAAAACGAAGAGTTATTATGACTTTAAACTTCAACACTACTTAGCGAAACATCTATTCATAAATTTCAGTATAAGTAACTCACATTGAGTTTTGTCTTCCTTAATTCATGATATTGTCTTTTATATAATGTCCATTGCTAATAATGTATGGACACATTTTCCTTTTAGCAACACTACACAGTGCGTGACATTGAGGTGATGGCAGAGTGTATATGTAATGGCCATCAGACTGACTGTGCACAGAACAACCTCACTGGCCAGTATTCTTGTGTGTGTGGTGGCAACACAGAGGGTCTCTACTGTGAGAGATGTCAGCCTTATTATAACCAGGCAGCCTTCACTTATGGAATACCTTGTGAAAGTAAGAGAGAAATGGACTTGTTTGGAAAAATGGGATTGGGTTGCTGTCTTCTTGAGTGTGTTAATGAATTTTTAATGTGACAGTTCCAGCCACCTAGTTTTCCAATCGTAATTAATTGAATCCAACATTTTATATGCTGTAGGAGACAATAATTCTGTATCACCCATATCATGTGTATGAGTATTTCTGTGTTTTTAAAATTGAAATTCACTTGGTCCTCTATAAATGTGTAGAAAATCAAAATCCTTGAACTCAGCATAAAAAAACAGATATCATTTTACCCTAGGCTGCAATTGTTTCAACCACAGTGAAGAGTGCTATTACAATCAGACAGTGGACGCCAACAACCTGAGTTTCAATAGCAGTGGTATCAGGGCAGGTGGTGGAGTTTGTATTGACTGTCAACACAATACTTCAGGTAACATCTGCTGTAACTCTGATATTCTAAATAAATTATGATTAATACATCATATGTTACCTGTGTAAATATGCCAAACTGTTGATGACAGGTAAAGTGATGTTTTTTCTGTTTAGCAGATGTAAAATTGATTTCTCTCATGAAAATTTAATAAGTTTTAATCCTACATACTGTGAGTGTTATATGACAGTAGATTTCAAGTTATGGAGTGTATTTTAATGACGATGTTACCAAGAAATGTCATAATTGAAAATTATAATTATTTATGATATTTTGTGGCAATCTTTAAATATAATGGATATCCATTTTGCTGTGATAAAAGAGCAGGTTTTAATCCCAACCTTGATTTCAGGTGTCAACTGTGAGAAATGTGAAGACTATTTTTTCCGTCCTCATGGCCGTCCCCAGACCCACCCTAATGCTTGTGTCTCCTGTGATTGTCACATGGCAGGGGTGACACTTAACCTGGAGACAGGACTTTTGGGTGACTGTGTCATGAATAATGATTCCATATTGCCAATTGGAAAGGTGAATAAATAGCTCAGTCAATTTCTAAATCATAAGATCATTTTATATATATATATTGAAGTGCCTTGTCACTTTTTAGGGAGAAAAGACAGTATTGAGCTAATGATTAACAGAAAATCCCCATGCCTGGACATTTTGAAACACTCAACAGTTCTTGGCACCCTGTTAATATTCATACATGATTAAAAGAGAACCAATGAAAAGTTGATAATTGAATTATCACGGTTGAATCCAGAAACACAAAAAATTAACTTCACTGCCATGATGATATATTTCAGGCTCCAGGAGACTGCTTCTGCAAATCCAATGTGATTGGTTCCAAGTGTGATCAGTGTGCTGAAGGCTACTTTAACTTGTCTCAAGAAAACCCACAGGGTTGTCAAGGTAATATTTACACACCAGTAGTGCATGGCTGAATTCAGAAATTGTATGCAAGCTCTGAATCATACTTTGCCCAACACACTGATGTTAAATATGTGAATTCAGATTTTAACTTAATTTTTCTTTGATACTCATTGATAATCAAATAGATGTTTGAAATTGAATTTTACATGTATAACTGTAACACTGCTAATTCTGTTAGAGCAGTGCTGCAGTGACCAAATTACATTATGATTTGAAAAATGATATGCCATGATATTTCCTTCAGGTTGTCTGTGCCACAGCCCAGGGACCATTGGTGGTTCAGGTATATGTGAACCTGATAATAATGGACAATGTCCCTGTAAGGAGTTTACTACAAATCGTATCTGTGACATGTGCATGGATGGATATTATGGACTAGAGAGCAACAACACACAAGGTTACCTTTTTTTTTTTTTTTTGAGACTTTGGCATTAAACCATGGAATCGATTTCACCTTCCCATTTTGTATTGTGCTTTAAAGACATTTAATTCCATTTAGATTGACATCAGATATTTGGTTCACTTCATGCTAAAACAAAAGACCCAGAACCTCATACTTGAATGTCCCAAAAATTTTGTGTTCTGTGCTCTTTTGTGTGGCCAGTCATGAAAAAAAGACCAAGATGAACAACTCAGTTTTTTCCTTGTCTCTTTATTCTCTCCATTTTGAGCAAAGTTTAAATGTGAGGAATGTGTAAAATGTGGGTTTATTCATTTAAATGTGCAGGTTTATCTGGATACAACAAAAACATTCCCATATTTATCTGATGCTACCTCCCTTTCTTGCGTCAGTGTTCTAAATATTATAATTTCTAGGATTTTCATTATATTTTCAGGATGCAGTCCGTGCAATTGTGATGTTGGAGGTTCCACCAGTCCAGTATGTAATAAAACCACTGGACAGTGTCCATGCAGACCTAATGTGGCTGGACTGCAGTGTGATAGGTATTTGCATACTTATTTTACATATGTAATTTTGTGACCACTGACACAAAACCCTTAACCCTTATATTACTATATTTTCACAAAGGTGCTCACTATTTTTCACAGTGATTTTTTAAAATTTTCTTTCATAATCACATTTGTATGCCATGGTTATACATCCATGTGTTCTGAACTGTTTCAGCCCAGCAGACAACTACTACTATCCATCTGTACACTTCATTAGTGCTGAGTTTGAAAACCTTCAAAACAGTGCCTGGGACAGAAAGCAGACACCTGATCCTTTCTTTGGATTTGGATATGGAGTTCTTACCCGCACAGTAAGTAAAACAAGTTTGTCATGAAAAATAGCAAAGTAACAAAAACCCACACTGCAATAGATTCAGTTTTATGACCTGAAGAATTTTAAATGTGAAAAATATCTTCATCTTACTCTTTGAAGGAATAGTAATGATTTTAATAATTTCTTTGCCTTCTTTAATTGATTGTAATGGTTTATCAGGGGGAGTCCACCACCCAGTTAGACATACCTGCAATCGACCAGCTCTCTGGTCAGTTTCATGTAGTCCTCAGGTACATGGCCAATGGCAGTATGGATGGCAACCTGACTGTGCTCTCTGGACAAGGTAATACTTAACAATCACAAAGTACTTGTATGAAAATTGAGTAAATTTTTGTATTTAGTTCACTTGCATGCTATTGTCAAGCTGGGTGCATTCTTATGGTTTTTGTGAAATGTATTTCGCAATATTTTTAAATTTTTACTTATTAGCTTTTATTTTAAATTTTGAATTTTTTATTTCTCTCATAAAATTAATCATCACTAACATATCTCTTTCAGTCCCACAGTTAAGGCAGATCATCAGCCTCAGCTTCTGTCCCACATGGTGTTATATTGCCATTGGCAATGATGCTGGCATTAATTTGCAGCCTGGATCCTATACCATCCAGATTCAGGTTCCTTCTCAAACTGGGATTGAAATACTATTGGTAAGGTTATATCTGCTTAGTTTAAGGATATGTCACAGCATTTTTAGATTTCTATTTATTTATTATTGGTTTTTTCATCGCCAGGAAAATATTTTTGATTGATGTCCCTGTATTGTGTAAATGCTAGATTATCAAGAAGGTTTCTTTATTAGTTAAATAAGAGCATGCCTGTTTTTCCCATCTGACACAACTAACAAACTTTTAAAGAAATTCTTATACTAATATTGGTTCCTGGGATATGCAGCTGTTCAGAGTAGAACTGCATGAAGTTGGTATTCTTAATTTAAAATTATTTGCATGTTGACTTTCTGATGATGATTTTTTTTTTTTTTTTTTTGGTTTTATGTTGTATTTCAATACTAACCCCAATTATGCATGTTGGTTAAAGGACCAGGTTGTAGCTCTCCCAGTAGAGTTCAGGAATGCTACAGAGGTGCTGGGTGGAGAAGCCAACACATTTCATTCCACTTGTGATGTTGTGAGTAATCTGGCAAGGTCAGTATCTAGGCTGCTAAAGTGATGGTACTGTTCGTTCCCCTCCTAAAGCATCTTGTAGGCATCCATAGTTTTGTTAGAGGTGATTTAGTTGATTATTAAATAGAAAGTATGAAGGACACATAGATCCAAGCTTTGATAAAACCTTGTATAGTCTTTGATAGTTTCCAAAGAATTATTATTGTCTGGAGTTACAATAAGTATATGTTCTTTGGAATATTTACCTCTACCCTTAATGACTAAAATTAATTAAACATTTGCTATTAGGTGAAATAAACATTGATTCTATATTTCATCATATGGGCTTAGTAAACAGACAAAAAAATTGACAATGGCTTTTACCTCATAGCGAAAATGCCATTTGTTTTACAGGGACCCTGCTAGGCAAAGTTACTGTGATTCCCAAGAGTTCTCCCTGACCTCATACTACCTGAATGGTGCAGTGCCCTGTAACTGTAACATCCTGGGCAGTAATGAGACCATGTGTCAGCCTAAAGGTGGTCAGTGTACATGCAAACCAGGAGTGACTGGACAAAGGTGTGACCAGTGTATGGTAGAGTTCTACAGCCTGACTTCAGCTGGATGTGCAGGTAATCACAAGTTAGATTAGATCACAGACTGTTATGCTATGCCATTGTACAGTCTGTCTGTCTGTCCGTCCATCCCTCCAACTCTCCCTCTATCCCTTCAGTAGACTGTTTGAGACATTAGGTAGACCTGGCAACAAATCTTTTTTCTGCTCCTTACATTTGGTCCTTGTTTTCTGTAACACAAATGGCTAAGTGTGTAGACCTTTGTTTTCTTCACAATTTTAAGTCCCTTCAACAATTCTCACACAACAAAAATGTAAACTCATATTCAATCCGATGTGTGTTGTTCAAAAATGTTTAAACTATACATAGTTGTTTTTTCTCTTTAGCCTGTGAGTGTGCCAGCGATGACAAGATCTGTGACTTTGTTACTGGTCAGTGTAAATGTCCACCCAATACACAGGGCAGGCAGTGTGACCAATGTGTGGCCAACCACTGGGGCTGGGATGGCAAAGTAGGGTGCCAGGCTTGTGGTTGTAATGCCACTGGCTCAGTGAACCTCCAGTGTAACCTGACCACAGGTGTGTGTGCCTGTCAGCCTGGAGTTCATGGTGCTCAGTGTCTGGAGTGCCTGGATGAGTATGCCTTCTTCAGTCCCACTGGCTGTGTGGCATGTAACTGTAATACTGCTGGCAGCACAAGTACTGTTTGTGACAAGGGGAGTGGACAGTGCCCATGCAAGGTCAGTACACATGAAAGGTTTAGATGTATTTCCTGTGTTTTAATCTAATGCTAAGGAAACAGTAAATTGTGATATGTTTAAGAAACATAACTGTTTAGACACAATGAAATATTTATTGTTCCTCAGAATTGATAACACAAAGAATATGCAGTGGTTTCACCAACTGAAACATTTGGTCTTAAACAAATGAACAGAACAGGTTCCTGATTAAAAAACTTTGGTAGTTTCCATTTCTTGGTATACACTGATAATTACTTTTTTTCAGAGTAACACAGTAGGCCAGTACTGTGGCAGTTGTAGGGCAGGAACATACCATCTGTCTAGTGGTTATGATACTGGCTGCCTGGACTGTATATGTATGGGTATCACTCAGAACTGTGCCAGCTCAGGACTGAGATACACACGGGTGAGAAAAATTATCAGGCCTCACATGTAATATCATGTACGGTAACAATGTGTAGCATGTAGGAAGACAGGGAAATTTTCTTATTTTGATTACAGTTTCACAAAAACTAGATGTCCATGCTCATGAACTATCCCTGCTGTTTTAGTTTTTGAATTTTAAGAACATATTGCATGATATTTGACTGATTGAATTTTAAGACCAATTTGGTACATATTATATAATATAATTTAAGTGTCATTATGCTTGATTTCTTCCAATTTTTCATTCAGCAAACTCTTGCAGTAAACCAGTTTAATGATGGTATTAGCAAGCCATCCTTTGAGGTGATGAATGCCACCGCATCCAAACCTATCAATGCCACAAACACACTGCTGAATGGCGTAGAAGTCGCCCAGGCAACCATTAACAACCCACAAGAACCTCTGTATTGGAGAAGCATATACACCTTCATCAATGACTTCACCAAGTATTACGGATCCAGTCTTAACATGACAGTGCATTATATCAATGTCCTTGGGTTTGGAGCACCACTCAACACCAGCGTGGTGTTGGTCACGCCCACTCAGAAGAGACTGTACTATTNGCAACCCACAAGAACCTCTGTATTGGAGAAGCATATACACCTTCATCAATGACTTCACCAAGTATTACGGATCCAGTCTTAACATGACAGTGCATTATATCAATGTCCTTGGGTTTGGAGCACCACTCAACACCAGCGTGGTGTTGGTCACGCCCACTCAGAAGAGACTGTACTATTCAGTGCCCCAAGTTCAGGTCAACACCACCACGACAATATCAGTGAAATGGCTGGAGAGTTTTTGGAGGGTTGTGGACACTAATGCTCCAGTGAGTAGAGGGGAGTTCCTCACGTGTCTGGCTGATGTGAAGTGGCTGTTGCTTCCAGCTTCCTGGTCAACGGGGCCCCATGTCACTAGGTGGGTGGTGGATATATGTATGGAATTTAAACTCAAGTAACCTTGAGGAAAGTTAATTTTAGTTGTGATAGTGTTCAAAATTATGAGTGTTGCTTAAATTAGATAGTATATTTAGACTTCTGAGGATTAAGAATAGAAAGCAAATATTCAAATTACTCACTATTAATGGATATTCAAGTTTATGTGGGTAGCATTGATACACATGTAATTTGTCAATCCATGTTTTCAGTATTGAAGCTGTGCAGTATGAAGAAGCCTCCACCTCAGGCACTGGGTCCTTAGCACTGTCAGTAGAACAGTGTGTATGTCCTCCTGGATATGACGGACTTTCTTGTGAGGTAAAACATGAAGCTTTTTAGATATAAATGGTGGTGACAATAAAACCATCTTTAATTTTATAAGGTATGTATTTTAATGCTTTAAAAATGTATGTACCTGTTTGTGAATAGTTATCATTCATTTTCAATTTGAAAGATAGGATGTATTATTAGAAGAATACGTTTGTCGTAAAAAAGGTTGACAGTGTCTTAGGCATTTCATAGTTAAGGTAGGACCGCAAGTTAGACATTTTTTTTCTTAAATTAAAGGTCTTAGCTTTTTAATTCCTGTTGCATTCATTCCATGTATCTTCAAAACATGCAATTATTCTTGAAACTCAAGTTCATCGTGCGACATAATATTGGGATTTTTGGGGCAAAAACATCATTTTTTTTCTGATTTTCTCAGGCACCTGGACAGCAATAAACATGCTTTTAATGGTATTTTAACACTTGAAAAAAGTACTACAAAAGGGGTTCAAAATTTTTCTTTAAAGACTTACTGTTGATTTTATCTATAAAAATGTGATTTTTATCCTTAATTGGGGTACATTCCGCCCTTAAAAACACTTTCTCAGTCATAGTGGGGCATACATCCCCTTGTTAATCTATAACAGTGCAGAAGAGTTGCATATTTTGATTAATATGCCCCTGATGTATTTATTCCAGAGATGTGCCACAGGGTACAAGCGTGAGAATGTGACCACCCATGGCTACCTGGGTGTGTGTATTCCCTGTGAGTGTAATGGCCATGCTGAGTACTGTGACCCAGACACTGGAGAGTGCAAGGACTGCAGGGATAACACCACAGGTACGGAGACTGTAGTGGCAGTGAAAGCACTCAGCCAATACCTACTTCAGATGTAATTACTGCAAATTAGTAGGTTGCCCTTTGTGGATAGCATGCTGCCTGTTCCTGATCATGTAACTCTTTTTATTCATAAGAGTATAGATTTTATAATTAACCTTGTCCAGTGAGCAACCTATTTGTTATATATTTGCATAGGGATGAAATGAAAAATAAAATGGGGTAGATAAAAAAAAAATAATACCCATATAATATATAACTACTACAGGAGCAGGAGTCAGATTGAGGGAAAGCCTGAAAAACCTTACAAATATTTTACTATAAGCTACAGTCTTTGGAGAATACAACTTTGAATTTTCTGTATTTTTCAGGGACGAACTGTGAACTGTGTGCCATTGGTTACTATGGCGATGCTACCCAGGGTACCCCCAATGACTGTAGGCCCTGTCCCTGCTACAGCCCCAGGGTCATGGACCCCAGCTGTACTGAGGTGAATGGATCAGTGCAGTGTCTTAGCTGTGCTTTAGGTTATACTGGAGATATATGTGATAGGTAAGGGAATTAGTCTAACAAGGGAACTTCTGGTCTTGGGATGGATATGTGTCTACTACATTTCTCACTGGATGAATGCATATTAGAAGTGGACATATATTTGAAATTAAAAAAAAAAATTAAGCATTGAACCGTAATTTGGGATTTGGACTATATATGCTAATAGTTTTAGTATTACATTCACATAAAAATGGTTTATTATTGGCTGAATTATTTTTTTACAAATTTTCTTCCTGTTATATTTATTCAGTTTGGAGTGTATCAGACTGTATGGTATGATGTTCTCACTTCCAGCTGCTTACCATTCTTCTATGGCAACCCCGAGGTTCAGGGCACAGGCACCTGCACTGAGTGTGACTGTAATGGGAACTCACTTGACTGTGACACCAGGACTGGGGTATGCTCAGGGTGCAGCTCCAACACCACTGGCTTACACTGTGAGAGATGTATAGAGGGGATGTTTGGAGATGCCTCGCAGCAGAATTGTAGAGGTAAAATTCAGTGCTGTTTATTTCTGTTAATGTAAAACATGGAGATGTAAAAAAAGCAATAATGTTGGAATCAAATTTCTTCAGTTCATCTAGACTACAGGTTCAACATATAAAGTGTTTTGACCCTAGGCATAACAAGCAAAGGGTACTGTTTTGATATTTTAGTCCAAGAGATTCTATATTCTTAGGTTGTGACTGTGTGATGACTGGCTCCACTAGCGCCATCTGTAACCACACCACAGGTCAGTGTGACTGCAGACCAGGAGTGGGGACCAGAGACTGTGGGAGCTGCCTGGAAAACTACTGGGGATACAATATCAGACCATTCAACAGTAGGTATCACTGATATTGGTTGCTTGTTTAATTGCTTTGTTGTATGTTTAACCCACCATGAATCAGAGGTAGTGAAGCACAGCTTATTCTTGTCTTTCTTGTTTATTGAACTATGGAATACGATAGTTGCATTTGTCCCTTTAAATTTTACTAGTGGCTAAGAGTATATCATGATTATCACAATATATTTTTAATAAAGAATTAATAGAATAAAAAAAGAGACATATAACATGATGATAATATTTCAGGTTGCATACCATGTGACTGTAACGTGGCTGGCAGTACTACATTACAGTGTGCTGGAGACACAGGTGTGTGTTCATGTAAGTCTCATACAGCTGGGGACAAGTGTGACCAGTGTGCTCCTGGACTATGGGGACTGCCATATAGACCATGTGAAGGTAAGATATGTTAATGACACTGGGGTGTGGTAACATAAGGGTAAGGACTGGAGGGGGGGGGGAGGTGAGGGCTGTACACCTGGATTTTGGTAACTGTCAGCCATATAAACTGTGTAAAGATATGAACACAATATGATGTATATATGAAAAACATTCAGATTATGGTAATGGACTGCATAGTGGCTGCATATTTTTATAAGAAAAAGATGTCAGGCATTCTTGTTAACACTTACGTGTAATTTTCATTTTGAATAGAAAATTTATTTATTATTTCATTTCTCCTGTTCTACTTCCAGCTTGTGCCTGTAACACCACTGGTAGTGTGAATGCGTCAGCCCCCTGTGACACTGTATATGGTCAATGTGAGTGTAAGCCTGGGGTGACAGGCAGGCAGTGTGACCAGTGTGAGAAATTTTTCATTGGATTTGGTCCTGCTGGATGCACTAGTAAGTATACAGCGTACAATGTCTTCTAGACAAGGCCTTGATCTTTTCAATGGGGCAAATTTATGGATTTTTGCAATAATATATTTTTAAGTCATAATTACTTATAATTAGAACAAATTTTAAAAACAGGCTACATTTAGTTCTATTCTATATATAAAAGCACCACAAATGCTACAAAGAAATATTATTTCTTTGATTCTGAAATTATGTATCTGGAAAAGAGCAAATTATTACTGTTACAGTATACTTGTGTCCCATGGCTGATATCTTCATCCAACACACAGCAAAAAGCGTGATGAAGTAGTAGTTGTCTGCTTTTAAAGCCAATGGCTCATTAAGTACATGTATGTAGTCCATGCTTATTTACAATGATATGTGTGTTAATGTAATTATAATATATATCCTTTTTCCATTATAGGATGTCTTGATTGCCAGTATTCACTGGGTACAGATACACTTGTCTTGCAAGACACCTGGCAAACTTACTGGAATGTCAGCAGTACTGTAGGGGGCCTTGTGGCACAAGATGCACAGCTCCAGCAGCTCACTCAGACACTGACGGGGACTTTGGACAGTATTGGATTCTCAGAAAGCACTCTCTTCTCCCTGGAGGCTACATTGAGGAACATTACAAATAAGGAAGCTGGCTACAATCAGAGTGTCATTAGTCTGCAGTCAAGGGTGAGGAAATTAATCTATATATTTATTTCTTTTTACTTTGCCGACATTGTTGCTTTAAATGAAATGCATCTAAACTGACTTAGTTATTTTCTCATGTTGACATTAATTTAGGTTCAAATGGCTGTTGATGCTGCTAATTCGTTAAGAAATGAAGCAAGAGCAGAGCTGAACAGGCTGCAAGACATCAAGAATGATGTCAGGAGTGCACTGCAGAGTGCTCTAGAAATTGAAGCTGTATCTGTTGGTACAATAAGTCAACTGACCAACTACAGTGTGGAAGTAGGACAGGTACAGTGTTTTATGTATATATATTTTCATAGCCCATATATAAATTATGTATTATAGAGGTAGAAGATTAAAAGAATGTCTTGGTTATTTGCACATAACCATTTTAAAAGTAAGCAAGTAAGAAGTTTTTGCAATTTGTTTCAATAACGAGTTGCAAACAATGTCATTAAACAAATACATTCTATTATTCAGCTCCTTGCCAAAAGCAGAGAAGTAAGCAGGTATCTGAACCAGAACTTCTCAGCAGAATTGTCCCGAACAGCAGCAGAATTGGCTGCTGGTATTGCAACAGCTACAGATGCACAGGCCACCAGTGAGCTGATTCAACAACAGGTAAGAATGAAGTCATTTCTGTCATGATATTTTTATGGAGATGTAACTATAATTTAAATATGTTTTGAATAACATATCATTTTACGACTTAATTTTGACATTGCCAAAGTTTTGCATCTTTATTTTCATCAGAGTGCTGTGTGTGCTAACTTAGAAGGTGCAGCTCTAAATGCCCAGTCTGCCCTGAGCCAAGTGGAGGCCAACATACAGGCCATAAGCACTGCAGCAAGTAATGTAATGGCTGCCAGGGATAGAGTGATGGACATTCTCAACCAAACTGAGGTACACATTTGATGGATAGCTTTCTTGTACACTAATATTTAGTGAGCTTGTGGGAAGTATGTAATTTTTTTTAATGCACTTGCAAAATGTTCTTTTGGTATTAAAAATGGCATAAAATTCAGATGTTTTGGATAAATGTTCATAATATAAATGTATATGTGGATTTAAAATGTATTGGATACAAGACATTACACTGTTAAGATTTTTGGCTTTTATAAAATGATTGGTTCATCTGGTAAAACATTTTACTTTTAGTATCAAAAAAGCTATGCATTGACCCTGTTTAGTGAGGCAGAAGCCATACTAAACTTGACAGCAGTTACTTTGAATGCCAGCAGAGACTCCTTCCTTGAAGGCCAACAGGCATTTGCTGAGGCATCAGCGATTGTTGCAGATGGGATTCCAAAGGACAGTATGTACAGCCCACTATATTAATGCTAATTTGAAGTTACACTGCTTGCCATTATATGTAGTTTGAAGCATGTGCTAGGAAAAGAGAAGAGTTTTTTTTTTATTTTATCAAGTACACATCTTCACAGCATAAATTTGAATGTGATTTGCCTCATTGAAGTGTAATGCAAAATGCTTTTTAGCACTGCACAAAGCAGTTTTAATTGATTTTGATACCAAAAAATGTGAATGTATCTCAAACTATAGATTTGTGATTGTATAGAGACCTGAACCCAGAACCCCATCAAGATAAAGCCTTGAAGTGCAGATTTGAGCAAATCACAGTCATTTATTTGGATTCCTCTAAATGTGGTGGAACTTGGGCAAAATTGTGGTTCACTGTATTGTGGACTGGGCTAATAATTTTTTGACAACTTCTTGGTCTTGATGGGTTCTTGGGTTTAGTGGGAGTGATAGCATGCTAGAATGAGGTTTATGCTGCATGTTGCCTGACACCTTTGTAGCCACAATTGCTTTTTACCCTTTTCTTCTTGCCTTGGAGACAACAGTTTGACAGAATGCTTTAGTGCTCTTTAAACCGAATAGATGCATTCCAACCTTGAGCTGTTTCTCTTATTTTACAGTTCTGATATCCAGCTACATTTCCTGTTTTTTTATTATTATATCCCTAACTCATCATGATAATTGTTTTTTTTTCTAACTTCTTCTTGAACCTAAAGCATTATGCAGTCATGGTCACTGTGAAATTCAGTGACAATAACACACCAACTCCTGGATGTCTGCCTCTTGCTCTCTGTATATATATATTCTGTACCTGGAAGAATTATCCTCTCAATATCCTTCACATGAGTGAATTATCTTTCCCCCTCCATTCCCCCCTTGATGAGTGACATGAAAGTGGGTTTGGCTCTGCTAACAGATGCATGCAGGTTTATAGGTTTATATGTGATCCATGTAAAAATTTCAGACCAAATTCCACTGGATGCTGCAGGTCACCAGTACATGATAATGTTTATGGAGAACAGAGTAGAGAATGGGCCCAAGTACAGATACCTGGAGCTGTTCATCACCCCAGCAGGCATAGAAACAAACAACGTGACAGTCCAAATAAACCAGGTGTACAATAGTGCTATACCAAACATGACCTTTGTGGTCAGTGCAGGAGAGGTGAAGAAGGTGAACATATCTGTTGAGCTCAGGATGCAAGGATCTGTCATGACCAGGCAGGGTCTGGAGATTTTGGCCAGTGATAGAATAGTTGTCTATGCCTTGAACAAGGATGAGTTCTCCACTGATGGGTTCCTGTCCCTCCCCAGAGAATCTCTGGGGACAGACTACTACACAGTCTCATATTACCCTCCTAATTATAAAACACAGGTGGGTGTGGCAGCTATGGAGGATGATACTGAAGTGATCATCACGTTGCCACAGCAGACCTTCACAAGCAGTCGCGTGTTTGTGCTGTACAGGGACAATATTTTCAGGAATGGTAACTCATTCACGGTGAGGATGAACAAGTTTGATACTCTCCAGTTACAAGACGAGGTGGCTGCTGATTTGACAGGCACTCGCATCCAATCCAGCAAACTAGTGGCAGTGTTTAGTGGGAATGTACGAACTAATGTGGGACAAGGCACCCGTTCTAGGGACCACTTGGCAGAGCAGATTCCACCAATCAGCTCATGGGGGAGGAACTTTGCAGTGGTGCCAATTCCAAATCGTACCACTGGAGATGTGGTCAAGATAGTTGCCAGCCAGCCAAATACAGAACTGATTGTTGCTAATGCTACAGAAGAAAGGGTCTATACACTCACTCAGGCAGGGAGTAGTAGAACGCTCCTGCTACCGTCATCTACTTACTGTTTCATTGCAGCAACAAAACCTATCCTTGTAGCTCAAATTGTTTACAGTCAGTTGACAGAGGAGAGCATTGAAAAGGCAGACCCTTCAATGATCCTCATCCCGTCCATTGAGCACTACAGCTCCAACTACCATTTTGCCCTGCCAAAGCCCTCAATAGGCAACTACACCCACTACTTTCTGATAGCCATTGAGGACAGTGCCAAGAATGGGGTCATTCTTGATGGTCAGCCATTGCCCAGTGCTGCCCTGTGGCACCCTATCCCCTTCACCACCTTAGTGGGTGGGTATTTTGTGGTCAGTGGAGACCAGGCACACACCATTACCCACACTGACCGCTCAGTGACCTTCATGGGGGTTATGTATGGAGCAGGAGACAGGGAGAGCTATGGACTGCCTATTGGGATGAGGGTACGAAACCAGGTAGGTCGACTGATTTTTATGGTTAAATTTCAGAAAAATTTAGATTTTAGTAGTTTAAGAGAAGAACATTTCCATTTCATTGCTTATGTTATAAGTAAGTCACAAATATCCTGTCTTTACATTTTTGTATATGTTTATATTGATTATCTTTTTTCTTCTTTTTCATCTCTCCTTAGTATGAAGTTACAGGTATGTCTTTTTCAGTACTGTTTCATTCTCATGAAAAACAACAGCAAGCAATCATAATTTCTTGTTTTCTTATCTTGGAGTTAAGCCAATGTGTATATTCTTAGGGATAAAGTGTTGTGTTAACATTTTTAGATATAGATGCCTTATTCTTTCAGATAAAACTATCCATTGCATGTTCTTACAAAATGTTGTTGTCATTTACGTTTCTATATGTATATATTTTAGCACTTCAAACAACATTGGAATCATCAGGCACAAAGTTCGTGGTAATGTACATGGAAAATAGGATCGAAATTCCTACTCAGCCTTTTGTGGAGCTGTTTGTAACCCCAGCAGAGAATGTGTTCAGTGTACTGGTCAACATCAACCAAGTGTATGACCAAGCATATGGCAACCGGACATTGGTCATTCAGGGAGGACAAGTCAGGAAGGTGGACATTCCAGTCAGTTTTAGAGTAGTGGGGAATTCTTTTACTAGGCAGACCCTAGAGATCACCAGCTCAGAAGCTGTGGTGGTGTATGGAGTCAACAAGGATGAGTATTCCAGTGATGCCTTCCTGGCTTATCCTACCACTTCACTGGGGAAGGAGTATTATGTAGTGTCCTATGCACCTCCCACTATAAGCACAGAGTTGGGGATAGCTGGGGTGTATGGTAATACCAGAGTGAGTGTCACTTTCAGTCCTAATGTTCAGGTGTCATATGGTAGTGTCACATACGGTGGTGGTGACACTCTAACAGTGACGTTGAACCAGTTCTCATCTCTACAGCTACAGAGCCAGTTTGGGGATTTGACTGGGACACGTATAGTATCAGACAAACCAGTGGCAGTTTTCAGTGGCAATGTCCGCACCAGTGTCCAAGGCAACTCCAGAGATCATCTTGTCGAGCAGTTGACTGCTGTTCAGTATTGGGGCACCGAGTTTGCTACTGTACCCGTACCACAGAGGACTGTAGGGGACATCTTCAGGGTTGTGGCAAGTGCAGACAACACGATTGTTAATGTTCGAAATTCCACCAGTGTTGTGACATCTTCTATCAACACTGCAGGGGGATTTGTACAACTACCTCTGGATTCAGCAACATATTACTACATCACATCTAACTTCCCCGTGCAAGTTGTGCAGATAGTGAAGAGTCAGTTAAATGGTGAGCTGGCAGATCCCTCCATGTTCCTGCTGCCCCCTGTAGCCAGATACAGTACAGGGTACCACTTCTCCCTCCCAGCACAGGCAGCCACTGGGAGCTACACCCACTACTTCATGCTGGTTATAGAGAACAAGGACAAACATGGCTTGCTGCTGGATGGACAGCCCCTGAACACAGTCCGCTCCCTGACTTGGAACACTATCCCAGGGACATCACTGGTGGGGACGTACTTTGAGCTCTCTGGGGACCAGTCTCACTTCATGACCCACTCTGATCCTAGTGTCACCTTCATGGGACTCCTGTATGGTGCTGGGGATAAGGAGAGCTATGGTCTACCTATTGGACTGAGATTTGCAGATAATTTGGTGAGTGCACTTATTAGTCTTATAACGATGAAATTGATTTGTAATATTAGAGTATGCTAATTTACCATTAAATAATATATTTTGAAATAAGAGTATAAGAGCCATTTTATTATTTTTTTAATTGATTTTTTCCTTCTTATCATTTCAGGAGGGAATACAAGGTAAAGAGACCTTTTAATAACCTATATTTTTTTGTGGCTAAATCATCAAGATATTAAAATACCAAATGCAATTTTTTTATACTAATTAATGTTTTGTGTGGAGGTTGCATTTGACTAGCTTTAAAATGATTTTACGACTGAAACCTGAAGTGAAATGAGATGAAACTAACACGCTGTTTTACAGTGCACGCTTTTTTGTGAGTAACCCAAGCTTTTTTGTAACTATTATAGCTGCACCACCAACAATAGACGCAGGTAGAGAATACATGGTTGCTTTCATGGAAAATAGAATCGAAAATCCTAAATATCAGTACCTGGAGCTTTTCCTCACTGCAGCAGGGGACGCTGTGGCTGATATATCCGTCAGCATATCACAAGTTCATGACAGAAATCTTGGTAATAGTTCTGTGGTTTTGAGACCAGGAGAGGTGACACGGGTAAATATTTCTGTACAGTTGAGAATGGAGGGCACCACTCTTTCAAGGCAGGGAATAGAAGTGAAAGCCTCTGGGAACATCATCCTGTATGGTCTGAACAAGGATGAGTATTCCACTGATGCATTTTTGGCCTTACCACAGAATGGCATCGGCACAGATTATTACACTGTCTCTTACTCACCGGCCACCACCAAGACCGAGTTTGTCATTGTGGGTACCAGAGATGACACTGTGGTCACAGTGACCCTCCCAAAAAGAAACAATGTAGCAGTCCAGTGGGCAGGTCAAATATATTCCAGAGGAGAGTCATTCAAGTTGACATTGAACAGGTTTGATACAGTCCAGATCCAGAGTCCAGACTCTAACTCGGACCTCACTGGCACTCACGTCCAGTCTGATAGACCAGTGACAGTCTTAAGTGGAAATGTTAGGACTCAGGTCGGCCAAGGAGTGTCCCGAGACCACCTGGTGGAGCAGATCCCTCCTGTGTCTTCATGGGGGAGAAACTTTGCCACGGTGCCTATACCAAACAGAAGCACGGGGGATATTTTTAGAGTTGTTGCGAGCCAGGATAACACTATTGTCACCATAAGGAACACAGATGGTGACCAAGTCAAGATTTTAGATTCAGCAGGAGAATACACAGAGTTCACCATATCATCTACTGCTTACTCCTATATTACGTCTAACCATCCCATATTGCTTGTCCAGATTGTAAAAAGTCAGGTGTCATCATCAACATCTGAGGTGGCTGACCCAGCTATGATGGTGGTCCCGCCTTTTGAGCATTACAGCAATAATTACCACTTCTTATTGCCTTCTGGTGTGGCTGATACTTATGTCCACTATTTTCTGTTGGTCATTGAGTCTGACCTGAGAAATGACCTAAGACTGGATGGTACATTCCTGACTGGGTTGCCATGGCAGAGTATACCTGGGACAAATAAAGTAGGCACTTTCTTTGAGGTTACTGGGAGCCAAGCCCATGTATTAAATCATGTGAACCCCAATGTAACATTTATGGGGATGCTGTATGGAGCTGGTGACAGGGAAAGTTATGGACTGCCAATAGGCATGCGATTAGTTGAAAATATGGTGAGTTGAAATTTTAAAGAACTTGGTTGGAATATAAATATCTAAACTTCTTTATGAATTATGCATGTATTATTACATAAGCCTGAGTTTATACAGTTAATAGGGCTTGTTTTGCAACTGTATACTCAAGTATGGTAAATATTGCAGATGATGCATAATACATTTGGCTATGCAAGAAGAAAGCACACTTAGCACAAAACACATTTTGCCAGTGTTTAATCAATTTGCCATAGCACTTTGTTTGAAAGCATGAATTTTATTGTTTTTTGCACATTTTTTACATTTTACCTAGGATCAAGGAGGTAAGATTGGATAACTAGAAACCAATAGTATAATGCTTTGTGATTCTTGTGTCTTTTTCCTCATCCTTTTGTCCTTTTAATTAATATGTAAGCTCTACATTTTCTATTTTTCAGTATCTAAATCCCAAAAAGCTGAATAATTAATCCCTGACTCTCCAGACCTTCTTGAAACTTACCATCAAAACATGTCCTCTTTTGTATCAGTCTGAGTTTTGACTTTACTATTCGATATTAATAGCCTTGAACAGTTGTACAGCTGCATTACTATTCATCATTATGCTATGTTTTCTATTTCATGACTAGGACAAAATGCATCTACAGGTTAAAGCTGTATTTTGAAATAATGATTATTATATATGATTATGCACAGTGTATGTGTTAGTCAGGCACAAGTGCTGTTGGGGTAGGGAGTAGTATATGTATACATGTATGGAATATGGGTCTGTGTCAACATAGTTTTGGGTTATTTTCATTCTCTGTGTACATATAACACTACATGGTGGCAATTTTAAATACAGTATCTCTGCTTACTAGCTGACTATCTCTTAGTGTTGGCATCTTTGAAGTTTTTCTCTTTTTGAATTCTCTGTGAGAGAATTGTTTGACTGTAATCACAGAAATATATTCACTGCAACAACATATTTGTAAAATAATCATGATGAAGATATCCATTTTTACTGAATTAATGAATTTCACATTGAAGTTGAAATTTCAGTAAATCTTTTTTTTTTATTTTGAATGATGATTTTCTGAATTTTGGGGTTTTATTTATGAAAAACCCTTTTAGAATGTAAGATTAAAACTGAAAAGTAAAAGATAGGATATTTGTACATTTTTAATGTAGAATTTGTGTCAATATCATATTTAATGTGTCAAATATTAACTGTACCTTTTTAATGTAGGTTTTGAGAGCTGGACCAATATTTCCATGCAGTTGAAGACTTTGTCCAACAGTACAGAGCAGCTGATGCTGGACACACAGGTCTTAGTACAGCAGGCAGAACAACATGCCCAGACTGTCACTGCAGCTGCACAGGCTATTCAAAGGTACTGCTGTGTGAAAATCTTGTCCTATTACGCTTGTGATATGATGTGCAAGAAATCATAGTAATAATACTGTAGTTATACAAATGACGGATGACAATCAAAATTTGAAAGAGTTTGTTTTGCCTTGAATCTGCTTAAATTTGTTTGAATATTTAAGTTGCCATTGTTTGATGTGGATGCTAGTAAGATATATCAAAAACACTATTACTGGATCATACTGAATCCAGTGTTGTCAAATTTTTAGTAAAATGATTTGCCTTATTCTGACAATAAATACATTTTTAAAAATGACATTAAAGGTGTAGTTTAGCCATCTATACATCTCCTTACTGTGTTTCCAGTGAGTTCTCCCTTGTAGAATCCAGAGGTGCCATGGCAGTGGATGCTATACAAAAGTATCAAGATGTTGCCAGAACTCTGAACTCCTCTCTGTACCTGGCTCAAGATGCCAACAACACAGTGACTCAGGCCATGCAGTCCATGCAGGACATCACAGTGGTGGACCTCCAGAACCAGGCACAGACCAGCTCACAGGCTAGCTTAGACATGAAGGCCCAAGTTGATGCAAGGGTTATAAATCTTGCAGGTAATTATGGTTTAATGACATTTTTTTTGTAGATTCCTACATTTTGGATTAGTTTTTTTTTTCAGTTGTGGGCATTCTTTTTTAAGACAGGATACTCATGATAGCCAATGAGAGCTAACACAGCAATATTCATAAATTCATCATGCATTATTTTAAGTTTAGGCAATTTTCTTATTTCTATATCAATAAAAGTTTTATAAAGTTACTTTTTTAACCTAGGCAAAGTAATCAAACTGAAATTTTCTATGATCATGTAAAGCTGTGCTGTATGTTAGCCTGCCTTTGAATTTATAACAGATAATATTTTGCTAAATATATATGTATATATGTGAACCAATTTGTTTGATTAGGTCTCAACTCCCAGTTGAATTCTGCCAACTCCAGTCTGCAGTCAGCAGTAGGCATGTGGTCTGGGTTAGAGACACAGATAGCCAACCTGGAGGCAAGAGCTGCGCAAGTGAATGCAGCTTCTACAGGTACACAGGCACTATATATAGATAGAACAATAATACTACCTTGTATTATTACATTGCTTCTATATTTCCTGGTCTTTATTGCGACAGTCACCAGTGCTGTGTGCCACATTTCTGTGAAATCATAAGCACTTTTACATTGGGTATTTTTAAACAGGAACAATCTCGAATATCAAAAAATCATTTCTGTTTTTCAAAAGGTTTGTTTTCAAATTTTCAGATCCAGGCATTATGACCTTGCTGGACTCGGCTAACACTACAGCCACCCAGGCTCAACAGCTGAGTGACCAGGTGCTCCAGGCTGACCAGAGTGACCAGAGCCAAATCCAAGCTCAAGAGGATCTCGTAGCTGTCATACAGACCAGTGTGAACAGCATATCAGTGGTCACTGCACAAATTAATGCAGAATGTAAGTCGATTTAAATTGAAATGAATTTACTGTGTAGGGTTTTTTTAAAATTGGTTTGTCGATGGATTTGCTGAAGAAGTTGCTGGAACTTTTTCAAATATACTTTGTAAAAGAAATACATTTGTATCCCATTGCAGTGAAATGATGTATCAAGTAACTGATGCAGTTCTAAAATATTGAAGAACATAGATAAGGATGATTTGAAGGGAGACATAGTGGCTAAAAATATCTTTTTGTATACCTTGTGTCAGCCTTTTGAAAACCCAAGTTTCCAATTTTCAGTACAAAGCTACAAAATAATGTACAGTCAGATGCAGAGTCGACTGACAGCAATCAACCAATTTCACAGTGAAACTAATGCCACAAGATACCGACTATCAGCAAAGATGGCGAGCATAGAGGCCAAGCTTGCCCGTGCCAAGCAGCTAGCATCTAGCCTTGAGCGCCCTGTGAGCTTCCCAGGCAGTGCACACATCACAGTGCAAAACCCATCCCAAGAGAGCAGAATTTTCAATGAGCTGTCCCTGGAGTTCAGGGCAAGCCAGGAGAATGCTACAGGGGTGATCTTCTATGCTGATGGCACAGCTGATAACTCCTGGCTGGCTCTGTATGTGAACCATGGTACATTGGTTTTTGAATTCAACCTGGGAAGTGGCATAGTAAGAATGGAGAGCTTAGCTACTATATGCAGTGGCTGCTGGCTCAAAGTTTTAGCCAACAGGTAAGCTGGTAGCAGCATTTAGGCTGCTGTGATGTCATGGATACTAGAAGTTAATGGCATTGACTTGAGTTTGTATGATACCTTAAGCCAGTAATATTTATATTAGTGGAAATTATTTTTTTGATAAGTAAAGGAATACTAGGGAAGTAGATATTAATACATGTGAATATTACTCAAAAGGTACACCAGTACTGGTCACTTGACAGTGACCAGAATGTCCACAGGGGGCTCTACTACATCATATGGAGAAAACAATGTGGGGAACTCCCTCCAACTGGGGGCAGACTTGGCCCTTGCAGGGGTGCCATCCAATGCTAAGGTATGTGAATCTGTTGAAGGCCAAATTTTTAGATGTACAAAATATGATTTATTTAGACTTTTTATGATATAAAAACATGTTATATGGGCATATGTATCCATGGACTTAAAGTAGAAAACAAAGGAGTTGATCTAGTTTTTTTTAATGCTAGTATTTAGACACAGACTGATAAAATCTTTTTTAAAAGTAGTGTTAAAATTTATCATGACAGTCAGCAAATAATTTATGGAATGTGTCAGACAATGCATAACTCAAGTCTTTGTCATTGACCTCTCATTTAAGGCTTCTGGTCTACCTACAACAAAGTTCCCAGGATGCATAACAAACTTGCATGTAGACAACATCAGGGTAGACTTGTGGTCAAAGCAGATAGAGAACAGCCTTGGATGTTGCACCAGACCAGTCACTCCTGCTCCTGAGGCACTTCTTCCAGGGGTCAGCTTTGATGGTTTTGGCCACTTACATGTGAACCCAGGACGATTCAGTGCCTTTGGGCAGTCTAGAGTTTCACTGGAATTCAGAACATTCAGTTATAATGGAGTGTTGATGTTGGCGGAGAAAGCTGGTAGCAGTGTATATTATGGGATGTATTTGCAAGATGGACGCCTGATATTCGAATATGGTACTCCTGGCAACACTCAGGCACTCCGTAGCAGTGTAACTTACAATGATGGCGACTGGTATAAGGTACATTTTGACCTAATTTACATGATGTGACTTAAGTAAAATCTCCTAAATGAAATACATGTAATCAAGTTTGCATTAGATCACATGCAATGTGCTTTACTTGGAAAAAAAAAATTTTTTTTTTTCGAAAGAGTAATTATGTATCATGTATATTGTGACTTTTTTTTTCAAGGTGGACATAACAAGAAATGCTACTTATGCAAGTTTGAACCTTCAGAGGGTCAGTGACAGTGGCAATAGTATTTTGGAGATAAAGTCTGTGCGAACTCCAGCCATCACATTGTCAGAACTGCAGAATGGAACACTGTATTTTGGTGGTGTTCCACAATCTTCTTCAAGGTAAAGCCTTTCATCTATTTATCTATTTATTTTTGATTTGTAACTATTATTGTACCACCAGCGTAGGCGCTGGCGGTACCCATGGTTTTAGTCCCGACCCGTATGTTCCGCCGGCTCCTGCGGCTCCGCCGGCTCCTGCGGCTCCTGCGGCTCCGCCGCCAAGTCACC